GCGTTGCCGCGATGCAGTGTTGTGGGAATGTTTGCCCCGTCTCGCGTCGCATCGCGTCTCGCCTCGCATCGCGTCTCGCCTGTTAGCGGATCCTGCCAGTGGCCAGTTGGAGCCGGCCAGGCCGGCCAGGCCAGCGAGCCCGCGGTGCCGTGCCCTCGCCTAGGGCCAACGCCGAACCCCACTTGGGGGACCCTCTCCCTCATTCAGCCCAGCGTTGGCATTTTCCAGGACGCCTAAGGACTTCGTTCTTTCATCCCAGGGCGATCCTAAGAGCGCAATCGCACGTCTCTGCGTGATTAGATCTGCAAAAAGCGCGAAACAACGGGACTCGAACCGAACGTGTGACCCCCACCAATGGATGCCTCGTTCGGAGAGAAATCCATTGGTGGGGTCACACGTTCGGTTTGAGTCCCGCCCCGGTCCCGCCTGGTGCTCAAACCCCGTCCTAGATTTTGACCGCCTACACTGGTCTTCTGGCAACTGCGCCTGTCTGGGTCGCGCTCTTCAGCGCCTGCGAGGCAGGCCAGCGCTCGGCCTGCATGGCACGGCAGGAGAGACGGTTGCCTACTTCGCCCCTGTCGTCTTCACAGGGGCGAGGCAGGCCACCGTCTCTGCAGCGGTGTGTTGCGGTACGGGCCGGCGGGCTGCCTCGCAGGCGCTCGAGTCCTCTCGCCACTGGCACCAGACGGCGCTCAAGGCTCAAGGATGTGAGCGACGACACGACACACAGTTTGGTACCGGATTCAGCCGCCGGGCCCCGATCCGGGTCTAGAGCCTACCCGACGGGCCGAGGGGCCCAGGGGCCCAGGGGCCGAGGGGCCCAGGGGCCGAGGGGTCAGGAACCCCGCCGCGGCTAGCCGGCTCGTCTCGTCTCCCGGCGTTCACTTGACTCCCCGCTTACCCGTGTGTCTGGCTGGAGATGAGATGTGGCCGCGCCACGCCTGCCCTGCCCAAGCCGCCAAGCCGCGGCGGCTGACCGGTCGGAGGGCAACGACGTCTCCGGGACGCGCGTGGGGCCGTGGGCCGGGCGTCTCGTGTAGTGCCTGTCGACGTAACGTAGGCTGTATCATTGAGGTATAGTATCCACGCCATGACAACCTCGCTCCACCTTCTCCCTCCTGGTTCACTGTAGGTTTCCGCAAAACCTAAGCTTTTTTCCGCGCGGCGTCGGCTTGCGTTGGCGCTGCGCGCTGCGCGGCTCTGCCGGCTTCTTTTTTCGCGTGCGTCCGCGTTGCTGCTTGCCTCGCCTTGCCTTGCCTCGCCTTGCAGCGCGCACGGCGCCGTGCTGCACGCTGCACGCGCCTGTCCGGTCCCAATGCAGTGCAGCCTTGGCTGCTCAAGTGCATGTTCATGGCCAAGCCGCCGAGCCACGTGCAGGGGCAGGGGCAGGGGGCGCGGCGCGGCGGTCTGGGCGTTAGGACACCCTGTGAGCCCGTTCACTCTGGGTGCCCTGGGTGCTGGCGTCGTGGCCTGGCGCCTGCCCCCTCTCCCTCTCTCTGTCTGTCTCTCTCTCCGCGAGTTTCGCGCATGCGCTTTGACGCTGACGTCAGCCGCCACGGCCATGGTGTGTGGCGTGCTGCTGCCGAGCCGCTGCTCTTGAGCCGGCTGGGCCCCGCCCCGCCTCGCCCCGCCTCGCCCCCACCCCGGCCGCGGCCTCCGCGCTCCGCGCAGTCCACGCTACGACCGACCACGCCACACCGCGCTCAGTGAGACGGTAACCTCCAACGCGAACAGGGACGGCAAGCCGACACCGCGCCCGCGCCCCGATTGGCTACGACTCGCCGGTTCGAGCGGTACGACGCGCCAAGTCGCCGCGGGTTCCTGCGGCCCTTTGACGGCGTCCCTTGACGGGGCCTGCCTCCACCCCGCCACCCTTGTCAGCCCTTGGCGCAGCCCTTGGCGCACGGATCGCGCGGCCCGGCGAAGTCCCTCCCGGTCGCCGTCGTCGCCACTCGACGTGGTGCACCTGGCCGCCAGCTGCGTCTCTGCGTCCGTGCATCGCGACTGACTTGCCGCCCTCGCCGCACCGCGACTCGGCGTGCTAGAGTGCGGGAGAATGTAGGTTAGTCTGCCACGGCGAAGGGGACCGAAGGGAGGGAAGGGCTGGGCCGGCGAGTCCGCCCGGTCGATACCGGCCCCGCAGGGCTGCGCAGGGCCGGCTGGGCCGCCAGGGCAGGGCGCGATGGGTCGGGCCTGCCGGGCGGCCCTACGCCCACGCGCCCACGCCCTGCAAGTGTTGGCGCGTGCACCGAGGCGCCGAGGCGCCGTTACACAACCGGCCCTCCGATACTCTCTCTCTCTCTCTCACACACTCACGAGGCTAGGGGGGCGTTGCAACGCAGAGCGGAATGTGTCCGCAGCCTCGCGGCGTCACAGACGCAGGTGTCGGCGTGTCACGGCGTGCCACGGCGTGCCATGACGTGTCGCCCCGCGCGGCGTCATGTGAGTGCACGGCGCGCGGCGGCGTCAGCTGGGCGGCGCCGTGCCAGCGCCGTGCCAGCGCCGTGCCAGCACACTGTGAGCCGTTTTGGCCGCCCCGTCTCTCTCGCACTCACGTAGCGTTCCGTAGGTGCGAGGGAGACGGGCTGTCGGAACCAGCCTGCAGGCCGCCGGGCCCAGTGGCAGGAAAAACGGCCCCGCCGCGGCCCCGCCCCGCCCCGCCCCGCCCCGCCTGGCTGTGCGCGCTGCGACTAGGCGCGGCGGGGCCGGCGGCTCGGCGACACAGCGACAGTCAGGCCGCCGCGTCCGCCGCCGCGTCGGACGGAAGGACGGAAGGCCAGGGAAGGCCACGGCTGAATTGGCCGGCTGAGCGACTCCGCGCAGCGCAGCGCGGACGTCGTCCCTCTCTCTCGCACCCACGGGACGCCCCGCGAGAAGGGCTGCGGTGTAGCAGTGCCGTGCCGTGCCGTGCCGTGCCGTGCCGTGCGTGGGCGGCGCGACGTCCGCCAAGTTGCCGGTCCTTATCGCGGCCCGCTCGCCGTCACCGCCGGAACACGCCCCGGCCACGCGCCTGGTCGTCGCGCTGGCGTCACTCCGAGACGTGACGCACCACGCCGACGTCGCCGGCACCGCCAGCCGATGCCCCGGCTAGCCCCGGCCTAGCGCGACAGCTCGACCCAGCTGACTTTTTCAGCGTGACGTTAGACGTCACAGTGGAGTGGCCGCGGCTGCAGACCGATTCCGAGCAGGCGTGCCATTCCCTCGCACTCGCACCGGGACGTGAGTGCGAGAGAGACGCAGCGTGCGCTCGGCGCGGCCGTTTTTGCACCGTGGGATGCTGCGCCGTCTGCGCCCCTCGCCCCTCTCGTTGCGGCCGAGGCGCCGTGTACCGGGCACTATAAACGGCGCGGCGTCCGGGCGCCGCTCGGCCGCTGGGCGAGAGGGGGGAGGGGGAGGGGCATTGAATGGCGTGCGCGGTGCGGCTCGGCTCTCGGCCCATCCCGATGAATGGACGGGCGGCACGGCGGCGGCATGCAACGGCAGGAGGGGCGCTGATAGAGCCTGCCGCTTGGACCTGGCGGCCCTGGCCCTGCCTTTGTCAGGTGCGCATCGCGCCGCACAGCGTTGCTCGGTGCTTACCAGTGTCGGTGTTGCTTTCTGCTCGCCGTTCACCGCGCCGCACAGTGGATTTGCCGGAAGACCGGCGCAGGCGACCAAAAATCGAGACGCGTTTTGAGCTCCGGAGTCGCTGAACTGGATTCGAACCGATTGTGTGACCCCACCAATGGATTGCTCTCCGAATGAGGAATCAATTACAGTGGAGTCACTCGCTCGGTTCGAGTCTTGTTCAGCGACTCTGCAGCTCAAAACCCGCCTAAAGTTTTGGCCGCTTCTGCCAGGGACCCTCGTCGGGAGGCTCAAACTCTGCCATCCCCTGCTGGCTGGGCTGGGCTCAAGGTTTAAGGATGGACGTCCAACAAACGGCTCCGTCAAGCTGTTACTTCCAAGATGAGGCTCGAGCCGCGCTTGACCTCGACTTGGCCATTCCACGGCAACGGCGCGGCCAGGGACAGGACGCGTTGACGCGGTGCGGCCAGGACGCGTCGAGGCGCTCCAGGCTGCTGCCGCGCTGCCGCTGCGTCTGGTTTCCGCACGCGAAATTCCAGGGAAGAGGCCGGACCGCTCGGCTCGGCTTGGCTCCGCGGCGCACGGCGCACCTCGCCGGCCCAAAGAATGTGGCGCGCTCTGGAATGCGATTGGAATGGCGGCAGGTGCCACGCCCGCCGTGCCCGCCGTGCCGCCCTGCATTCCTCCTACCCCGCGCCACGGCCTCCCGCTCTCGCTGGGCTTCCCCGGCACAGCACGGCACGGCACGGCACGGCCCCGTTCGAAGATCCGCTGCTGGGCACCGTGTTCACAGTGACGGGGCCCTGCCGCCCTGCCAGTGGGCCGGCCAGGGTTGCAGCGCTGGAAAGTCGACGACTTTCCAGGCCACTCTGGCACGTTTGCGTCCGTGTCGCCTGTCACGTTGAGCGAGGCAGCGATGACCCCTTGCGAGAGCATTTCTGTGACTTTCCATCGGAGTGCCTGGATTTTCAATGCGGGCCGAACAGGCTTCGCGGCTTTACTCCGCGGCGTTGCCCCGATTCCAAAGCGCCGAGTCGAAAATGGAGTTTGAAATGGAATCCAAGACGCTTGTGTGAGTGCAGCGTGTGACCGAGTGCTTTTGTTTGTTGCAGCACGTGGTAGCCATCCAGCAGCCGGCCGCCCCGCCGCCCCCAGCCGTCGCGGCCCCCGCGGCCCCGCCCCCGGCCGCCGCGCCCCCCGTGCCCGTAGGGCCCACCCCCGCTGACCGCATGTTGGTGCCGCTCATCGCCATCACCATGACTCCGCCGCGCGGCCCGACGGCCGCCTTGGAGAGGACGGCGCCGCCGCCGGCCAGGACGGAGGAGGCGCCCCTGGCCGCGGCCCCCGCCGCCGTGGTGCCCGTGGTGCCGGTGGACGTCGTGGACGCGAGCACGCCGCCGACGCCGGCCTCGCCGTCCTCCACCCCGGGGCAAGCGCGGTGCTACGGCATGCAGCACCGGCGCCCGCGGAACGGCCTGAGCAACGGGCAGACGACTGCACCGGCCGCACCGGCCGCACCGGCAGCCGCGCCCACCGCCACGCCCACCCCCGCCGCCCTCAAGCGCAGCCCCAAAGACTTCATCTTCGGGAAGGCCATCGGCGAGGGAAGCTTCTCCATGGTAAGGGCTTTGCTATGGCGGTGCCCGTTCTCTGAGGAGGCCGCTCTCTTTTCAAGGGTTTATGCCTAACGAGCCCCCTCTTCGTGTTACAGGTCTACCTTGCCAAAGATATACATACCAACAAAGAGTATGCAAGTAAGTAGTAGAGCAACTTGAGTTATTATTGATTTCCGCATGGCATATCATTTTTCTGATTATATTAATTGTGTCGTTTTTGTCCTCAGTCAAAGTGTGTGATAAGAGGCACATAATCCGCGAGAAAAAGACTGAATACATAAAGAGAGAAAAGGAAGTCCTGAATCGCCTGGGTGCAAACCAGAGCGCTGCGGCCCCTTTCTTTGTGAAGCTCTTCTGCACGTTTCAAGATGCAGATAGGCTGTACTTCGTCCTGTCCTATGCCAAAAGAGGAGAACTGTTACCATATATCAATAAAGTAGGATCATTTGATATAGAATGTACTAGATTTTATGCGGCCGAAATTCTGGTTGCACTAGGACATTTGCATAACTTAGGAATAATTCACAGGTTTGTTACAGATTTTTTGTGTTTTTGTGTTGTTTTTGTTTTTCCCCTTTTTGAAACATTCGTTTAAAATTGTTTAATTAATTTTTTTCAGGGACCTTAAACCAGAGAACATTCTTTTAGATGAAAATATGCATATTCTCATCACAGACTTTGGCTCTGCAAAAATGTTTAGTGAAGAAGAGAAAGAGTCTGAAGAAGAGAATTCCATGCGACAAAGGAGGAACAGTTTTGTTGGAACAGCTCAGTATGTGTCACCTGAGTTACTAAGGGACAAGTCAGCCTCCCATTCATCAGATCTGTGGGCCCTTGGCTGTATAATTTATCAAATGGTTGCTGGGCTTCCTCCATTTTGGGCAAGATCAGAGTATATCATTTTCCAAAAAATTTTGAAGTTGGAATATGAGTTTCCTGATGGTTTCTCTCCAAGTGCCAGAGACCTTGTAGAAAAGTTATTGGTATGTAAGGACTTTGGCTTCTTTTTATTTTATATGGCTTGGTGTGTCATGCCTAATAACTTTTTGGTTTAACAGGTTATAGACCCTAAGCAAAGATTAGGAGCAAATGACTGCCCTGGTGAAGGGTATCCATCAGTACGTGCCCATCCATTTTTCCAAGGAATAGACTTTAAAACACTTAGCGAAACCAATCCTCCGCCTATTTATCCATACTTGCCTGGAACATCTCAACATGAAGAAATGAGAAGTCATTACAGGGTGAGTACTTAAAAATATACTTGCAGGTGTCTAACTTTTCATAGATAGTTCTAACTTTTCTCTTAAATTATTTTTCAGGTACCTGATCATCTGGAGCCTGGTCTTGATGATAAGCAGTTAACAAGATTACTTGGACTGGAGCTTCAAAATAGCAGCAGTAACAGTGAACCAGAGCCTCAGAAACCCCCTGAGCCTATTATTCCCCCAGTGGTTCCTGAGCCCCAGAGAAAAATTAGTCATGAAAGAAAAATTAGTGTCACTGCAAGGCGAAGACATATTTCAATACTGGAACTGTCTCCAGAGGAAATTGCAGAGAGATTAGAAAAACAAATTAGAGAAAATCAGTGGCATCAGTTCACAGAAAATAATTTAATAATTAAGCAAGGACTTGTTGACAAACGAAAAGTAAGTTCCCTTTAAAAATAAATCTTTTGTCTTCCTGGGGCTGTGCTCTGATTACTGAAGTTACTGTTCCATCATTTATCTAACAAGTGTATTTTCCTTTAATTTTCAGGGTTTGTTTGCCCGTCGAAGAATGCTACTCCTCACCCAGGGTCCTCACATGTACTATGTTGATCCCGTCAATATGGTACTAAAGGGTGAAATTCCCTGGAGTCAGCAGCTTAGAGTAGAACCAAAAAATTTCAAAATCTTCTTTGTGCACACGGTATGTACAATGGAGGGCTTTGTTCTGTTAAAAGCTGTGATTGGCCTTGTCTTCCTAACTCTTATTTCTTTATTTACAGCCTAATCGAACATATTACCTTGAAGATCCAGAAGGTTATGCACTTGAATGGTGCAAAGCAATAGAAGAAATGCGAATCAATACCTATGGTGTAGATTGATATAAGGTATTGAGTAGCAAAACCTCCTTAGGAAAATTTTGTTGCCAACAGTTCTCTATGAATATATTACATATGATCATTTTGGACTGTTTTCATGAGTGATATTTTATTGCAATAGGCAAGTCAAATCCTATGTATTTCTCTCAGAAGTAATAATCTATTGTTTAGATAGTTGACTTCAAAGATAAACTTTGTGGTCCTAATCCTGAAAAATTTATCAGCTGAGGTGGAGATGATTTCCTTATGTACTTATGTAGTTCTTTTTTCTGCTGTCATGTATACTATAGTTTTTGTTTTTAACTGCTCTGTGTGAATGGACAGCGTCAAGCGTGTTGCAGAAGTAAATTAATTGTGTGAATGATCTGTTTGTGAATATTGTGTGAAAGGGAGCAAATTTACTAAGTACTGTGTGTCTGAATAGACACTAAGATATGTATCCTAGAGAAATTTACTGAATTTTGACGTGTAGTACCCTCTTGTGAGGATAATCAGTGATTATTCATGTATACAAGACTGCATTGTTTAACTGCCCAGATTAGGTAGAAGAAATAACATACCAATCCTTCTCCTAGTTTGAATGAATCAATATATTCATGTATTGAGCAAGAGCAGTGGTTTTGCTGCAGAGTTTGTTGCCCCTCCCTGATTTTTAAAAGACCAATGCAAAGTTACTAGCCAATTGATGTCAGTATTATTAAAATATTTTGTCAGTAAATGTTATTGTTAATTTGCCATGTATTTGCATTGTTGTATGTTTATTTATTTCCTTCATTGTAACTTGATCAATAATTTATTCAGGTTAAAATTATTAACATATTTGCTTATTTTGTGCTGTTACCATAATATTAGTAGCTGCTACACCTGTTTGTGTGGCTTGTAATAAATCAATTATGTATCTGTTATTCATAAAGAAAAATTTGATTAAATGCATAATTGGTAGATGTTACATTATAACAGAAAAACAAGGCATTTTTTCTTTTTTCAAACACCACCTGATCTACCCTTAAGATCCATTCCTATTAGAGGCTAAAAATTTTGGGGGGGAAACCAACAACAACAAAAACAACTATTAAAAAAAAATTTCAATTTTCTGTAATTGAAAAATTTAAAAGGATCACAAAGGTCTGAACCACAAGTCCTTTAATCATCAGCACGGCTAGCATGGCGGGCTAGGTGCTGTTTTAACTTGGGCATGTTGCTTATTTCTTCACCGCACTTGAAACACACCAAAGATTTCTTTAAGAGTTTTTCAGCTTCAGCATGTGAGACAGTGATTGCTTTTCCCGTTTTCTTCACTGACTCAATCAGTTCTGAAAATTATAAACAATCAAAGAAGAGCTGTGTTTAAAATAATTAATTAATATACAGAGCTGCAGTACTGCTTACTTAGAGAGTCAACAAAATGATCCGTTGTAAATGAATTGTAGTGCTTCTTGGTTTTCAAGCACTCTGAGCAAAAGTCGTCACTTATCAAGTGCAAATGCAAATGATTCATACTAGGCTCTGCATGATAGCCCATTCTAACAGAAAAGGACAAAAGACAAATTATGAGGTAAGAAAAAAATAATAAAACAAGACAAGATAGGACTTACTTGAATGTAATGTTTTTATGCTCTTCTTGTTGAGCAATGTCACAGGCAACATGATGAATATGTTCTAAAAGATCAAGATGATCTCTATTTATTGCCTTCAAACTTGAAATAGATTCTTTGGGCAAAACAAGGTAGTGAAATCGTGCTTTCGGATATTTGTCTTTAATGACAACAACCTGACTATCAGTATAAATTCTTAGGTTAGGGTCATTCATCGCCCCCAGGAGTCCATTCGCCCAGTGGCTTGAGGCAGAGGCAGGTTTCTTCGGTGGGTTGCTGGCTTCCTCGTCATTCTTTCGCTTAAAGGTTAAAGACATGAGCGTTGTGAAAGTACTAAGTGATGTGAAGAAAGTGGTACAACGTTGACAGACACTTTTGGAAACGCGGCTGTTCAAAAAGTTCATAAGGGCAAACCAACCAAAAGACGCACGGGTAAGCAGAAGCAGACGACGTTTTCAGCCAGTTCTGCCAACTGTGGCCACTAAAACTATCGCCCTGCCCTCGAGAGGGAATTTCGTTAGTTAAGGATTTGTGGAAGAGAACCACAGTTTTAAATCAAAGAGTGAAAGTAATCAGAAGTGCAAGTTTAATGTTTTTACAGATTTTATGCCATTTAATAGGTCATTACACTTCTTTACATTAGGCTGAGCAAAATGCAAATGTACAAGATATTTTACAGAACAGCAGCTGACAGGCAAAATAAATGACAAGTGAAATATTAACAGATAAAAGCATAGCATTGATTTTAATGAAAAACTGAAGCACAAAATAATAAAGGTGACAAGAGAATACCATAATATCATACAAATGTCATCGGTTTCTTAAATACACTTAATAACAATTATTACAACGCCACATTTTCTATCCATTTGTTTTTTTCTGATAAAAATGTTTCCTGGCACAATTAAAGTTTGAGTAGAGGACACACTTCTATTACTTTAGTGCAATATTCCAGATAGCTAACAGTTCATTCAATAAAAACAATATTGCTCAGCTTTTAATACAGATGATGTAATTTTAACGAACAGTACCTGCTGTGTTGTCCCAGTTCTCTTTAAAATTGCAATGTGATAGAAAATAGCCAGCAAACATCACATTAAAATTTGTAACTACACAATGATTGGAGAGGGACAAATCCTACATTGTGAATCATTTTGCTAGTACAGCCTACAGTTTTACAATTTCTTTCTTGGTACATACAAAATCTTTTCCGACTTCAGTGATGACCACACATGCCTCTTCCAGTAGATAGAAATGGCCGTAAAGACGGTCAACATCAAAAGAGCCTGATAGGAAAAAAATTTACAGAAGTATAATATACACGCCAAAACAGAAAAGAAACAGAAATAAGAATAGCAATAGACAATTACCTTGAAACCTGTCTTCTTACGCTCATCATGCTCAGGCTCTGAACACCACCTAAGGAAAGCTGAGACATCTTTGGCAATTTGACTCGCAGAGGCAGGAGTTCCATCACCAAACTCAGCACTCTAGAAAACAACAAAATGGGAACAAATGAGCACGAATAAAAAACTTGAACAGACTGCACATTAGCTGCAAAGAGATAACTTGCCTCATTGTAAATAGCCTGCGCCATACCAATGGCACCACCCATGAAGTAAGGATTATAATGCTGACCCTCCTGCAGTGTCACACCAGCTGGAGCCTCAGAGTAACCAGTCAGTAGAGCAAATACGTAGTCCTCCCCTCCATGGCGAGCAGCAGTAATGTAAGACAGATCAGGAGGGTATGCTCCGTTGTTAGCAGCACGAGCAGCATTCTCATTGGGGTAGGGGCTTGGGAAACTGTCGGCAGGCTTGCCAGGTCTCTTAAACATGTTTCCGGCATCATCAGGCCCATCTTCCACCTAAAATAGAACAGTGCCATCCTTGTAGATAGGAAAAATATGTACTTGTTAAATATGATAAGTTCTCCACAACGCATGTAGTACATACCATGCACTCTGCTGCCTCCGCCTTCACTTCATCCTCAGTGTGTGTAACACCAATCAATTCTCTGAAGCGAATGTACTGCATGCTGTGGCAAGCAGCACACACTTGCTTGTAAACTTCATAACCACGGCGCAAGCTAGAAAGATAACAGCACAGAAGTTAAGTACAATATTTACCAAAAGAAACTATAATTAAGATAAAAGTTCAATTTAATGCGTTTTTCCATTTGTACCTGGCATGGTCAAATGTTGACAGAAGTCCACTGTGCGGCCAATGGTTTTCTGGAGGGTGAAGGATAAGATCTGCCGCCTGGACAGAGCGATCGAGGGTGTACCACAGGGCAGCTGCTCCACCGGTCAAGATACCAGCTGTTGTGCATAACTGAGGGGGCAAACACCAATTAAAATATTTCCACATGACAGTGTGGAATAATAATAGAACTGTAATTATAATGTACTTACAGCTTTCTGACTCCTTGTCCAAGAGCTGCTAGAGGAGAATTTGTTAACCTGAAAAAATAGTCAGATGCAAGTGAACAAGGAGACAATAAAATTCATGGTTGATATGGCTATTTAACAGGGTGTTGGTTACTTAACCATCATGTAATGCCGATAAAATTTCCAAAACAGAAACCAGTAGCTTCCTTTCCCCCAAAAAAATTATCTGACTACGATTTTAAATGTCACTGGTGTTGTCAATAATAGAGAAATGTAGTAAAACAATGTTTCGAAATCAATGGCGTAATACACATTGAAATTGTGTTATGAGGGGAATGAAGGACAAACTGCCAGACAGTAGACCTAACCCTACGGAAGGCTGCATAAGATAAATCAGTCACATCAAGAGTCCGAAAGAACGGTACGGAGAACAGAGATTTCATTACTGAAATGAAAGTAATTTACTGGCAAAATTAATACAAATATAATAAGATTTACAAGCGAAATTTGTAAGAGAAACCTAACCTATACTTTGACCTCCTGAGTACCTGTGATGCAGACAACCGTCATCAGAATGGTTTCCCGTTTAAATAATGAGGACTGCCAGGTAAAGGGAGTGCATCACAAGGGAGTCAAGAATTAGAACAGTATGAAAGAATGTTCTAAAAAGTGATTCGATGGTAGGAATCGAAGAAAATTGGCAAAAGTTTAGAGAACTGGAGACAGATGAGGGGGCACCTACCGACCCATCCGTTTCGGGGTAAACAATGCAGGAACGGTGTTCATACTGCCCAAATTTATGTAATACCCTAGAAAAGTAGATTAGGTGTAAACAGAATTCACTATACCTGTTGCAAAACAATTCCATGGTTAGATTTTAGCAGCCCAGATCCGCAAATTCGTCTCATACACGCCGCCATCTTGAACAGAGGGTGCAGACAGAAGGGTCAAAGCAGGAACAAGTAGTAAGTATATATGATCACAAGATAATGTCGATGTTGTGAAGAAGATATTTCTTCACTAAAAATGATTATTACGTTCAAAATTCAAGGTGCCAAGTTGAAAATACGACGATTTGGTGGAGAGATATGGTGTCAGAAAAACTCTTGGCACTCGTTTGATGTTCCGAGTCCCACTTTCCGACGTTGCCAGACTTCTTTCTTTGGTGCCCTGTGCGCAGTTGCTTACGACCCCTTGTCGGTGTTTTAGTCGTTTCAGCGTCAGCTACAAAATAATCTCGAAAAATCTCTGCGCACATCGCACTGTTGTTAACACTGAACAATTTCTGACAGTGGCTTTGTTATTTTTAATCGTTCCAAGCCACAAATAGTCAAACTAGCTCGGGGAAGACACATCAGGACATATTCATTTTTGAACTTGCCGCCAATTTCGGACAGTCCATTTTCTGCCTGTGAAAGGAAAACGAATAAAAGCAGTGATGGCGCTACTTTTATCCCGAAAAAAGGGGAATATTCTCCATTTCTAATTGCCGTTCTTGTTCAAGGTGAAAATATTGATGACCATCAGGATCAGCTGATCGCCGCACTGGCGACTCGTGTTGCCGTTTATCGAGAGAAGAACAGGAAAGAAAGGGGAAGAAGAAAGCACCAAAGCGGCAACGTCGCATCCTGCAGTTTCAGTCGTTCAGTCGCTTGTGACATCGGCGAGAAGGCTAAGTTTAGGTCGAATGTAGACGAGCGACGTTATCCGCCGACATCAGAGAAATCCTGCGTAAAATTAACTTTCATCAAGATGAATTCGGGAATGCCCGAGCTGGGCAGCAAAATCAGCTTAATATCGAAAGCTGATATTCGGTATGAAGGACGCCTATTTACTGTGGATCCGCAGGAATGTACTATCGCGCTGGCTAGCGGTAAGTTTCGGAGTACCGCCTCTCTCCTTGGTTTCTTTAGCTGTAGTGTCTTTGGTCCCGTTTTAAAACGCCACGTGCCTTGCCCGACAAGCCCCTTCAAACGTTGGTTCCATTTGAGGTGAAATGCGCACTTGGCTGTGTTTTCCGGCGTAGGCCTACGCTCGGCTTCTGTCAAATGGACCAGTGTTGTTTATGTCGCTTAAGTCCGACGCTTCGTAGTTTCAACTTCTGGTGACTTCACCAAACCCTACTTCAGGCGCGTAGCCGCTCCATGTAGTCAACGGCTTTTCGGAGAGCATTCTGACAAATATTCAGGTTGGATCCACTCTGCGTCGGTACTTGTCACCCCCCCTCCCCCTGCCCCCTCATCTGCCTCAAATTTAGCGTCGGTATCAAGTCTTCTTCGAATCGATGGCATTCAGTTATTACCCCATTAGCCTTTCACGGTTTTCTATTAGCCCTGCCATATTTTAATGAGCCTCTTACTGCCAGGTCACAGCTGTGTTAAAATATGTTGTTTCCATTTAGTTGTGCTTATGTCCTGAACTTTCTTTTGCAGTTCGTTCTTTCGGAACCGAAGAGAGGGAGACAAAGTACCCCGTTCCTGCTCAAAACCAAGTGTATGACTATATCCTGTTTAGAGGGTCAGATATCAAGGATATTAGAGTTGTGAATACACAGCCTCTCAATGACCCTGCTATTGTCCAGGTGAGATGTAACCCATGTTGTTTAATTTGTTATACCAAATTCGTGTCATTTTATCCTCAACTTTTCACTTGGCTCACTGTGGCTTGCTCTCATTCGCTGGTGTGCATCCTCTAACACACTCCTTAGAATGCTACTCTGATCTCTGCTGACCGTTCCCGATCTGAAACATTTCCGCATTTGTATCTTACCCTTTTACCGGCTGTAGAGGAAGAACTGTCTATTTGTAAGGTCATCTTTTACCCCTCCTTGGATCATTTCTCAATGAACATACTGAAGGTTTCCCCATGCTGGTTTCAATTCCCTCATCCTGCTGGGCTTTTGGTGTATTGTATGGTGCCTTTTAGATCCTAATTTACTAATGATGTTATTTCTTCCCGGATTGGCTTCATGTAATTCTTCGCTGCGTTGAAAACAGTCCGAGGTAATTAAGTGGTTTTTGTTGACTATTTAGTTTCATGGGTTCTTAGTTCATCTGATTCTGCATTTCACTTCACCTCTCACCTGTATCTATCTTGATTGTGATGTGTTTTCCTTCAAAATGTTTCATATTTCAGCTGTCCGTGCCTCCCAGCATTGGTGGTTCGGCCAACTTCCCCGGACAAGCCTTCCCTCACCCCGTCCTGGGACACATTGGCGGGCCAGGACCTTTGGGACCCTACCCCCAGTCGATGGGAGGTCCAATGGGCGGTATGTCAGGCATTGGTGGCAACATTGCACCGGGTGTAGGTTTGGCCTATGACCCTCGATTGGGCAAGCAGCAGAGTGAGTTGGGTGCACCACTACAGTTGGAGCCTCTTCAGGCAGGCCCTGCTCCTGGTGAGCAGGAGCCTCATGGTATGTAAATGGTTTAGCTTTGGCATGGTTTTGCACGCTTCTCAGCTGCCTGGTATGTACCAATCTTTTTGGAAAACTTTGGTATTTTCTCTTCTGTTGCCTTACATTTGCTTCTTAAGGAGCTTGTCTCTTGTCAGTTTTTGTGGCCATGCTAAAACAAACTATTTACAGCTCTTGTTCTTTTCATTTATTGTCATTCTGCATGCTTGCTCAATGCTTCTTTCATTTGCCTGATTTTGTTTCATGCTTTTTACTTGATAAGAAATTCTAGAATGTTCAGACTCAGATTCTGTCCTAGATCTCATCAGCGGTTCTCGCTCATCAACCCCTGGACTTCTTTCCCGCAAGTCCCCAACAATGGATGCTGGAGTTCAATGCACCCAGCCCAAAGATGACAAGAAGCACCCCCAGAATCGTGCTGTTCAGCCTCCCAACAGGGGTGATGGAAGGTCAAGTCAAAACCGAGATAGGCGAGGAGATCAAGAGCAGAGGCCTCAGTTCAGGAACTACAGAGATCCCCAGCAACAACACAGGGACCAGAACAATGACTACCATGACAGGAATCAGGTTGGTCCCTTTGATTCCAGATTGCCTGTGGGCAGGGCAACTGTTGTGCATTTTATGTTGTAACCCTTTACTTTTGCATTTATAGAGAAACCAGCACCAGCAAAACCGTGGTGGCTGGGTCAACAACCGAGGAATGGTACGACAACGGGGTCGAGGCCGAGGTGGTCAGAATCCCAACTTCCAACGTGCCCCTGGACAACAGTCAGGCCAGAACCAGCAACAACCTCAGCAAGCAGCACCAGGTGCACAGAGAGAAAAGAAGACTCTGAAGTTTGAGGGAGATTATGACTTCGAACAAGCCAACACTGAGTTTGAGGAGCTCCGTAGCAAATTGGCCAAGGCCAAGTTAGGTGAGTCTTCAAGCCTCCTATGTGCTTCATAATTGTTCATTCAGGTTTGATGATGTTTCTTGACCTTTCCTCTTTAGATGCAGACCAGGCTCAGACTAAGGTAAATGGTGAATCTACTAGTGAGAAGAAGGATGATTCTGGAAACGAGACTGGGGTGGAAATCAATGAGCCAGAAGAGGATGATACCGGATTCTATGACAAGGCCAAGTCTTTCTTCGACAACATAAGCTGTGAAGCTGTTGAGCGAAGTAAAGGGTAAGTGTGATTTTGCAGTGTGGACTTTCTTTCAGCAATCCTCCTCACTCATTTCTGTTCTTCTTGCTTTGCAGACGCTCCCAGCGAACTGACTGGAGAATTGAGAGAAAGCTGAACTCTGAAACCTTTGGGGTTGCCTCTGCTAGGCGTGGCGCCTACAGGGGCCGAGGCTACTACCGCGGCGGTATGGGCGGTGGTAACTACCGTGGTGGCTACCGCGGAAACTACAGGGGAAACCGCGGTGGATACCATCAACGAAACAACTCCGGTATCCCCAACACGACACCTGCTAACGCACAGGCACAGCCAACAGGTTAGTCCTTTGCACCCTGAACAGTCTGCATTAAGTTGATGTTCTTCTGTTCACTGTTAATCTTTTTTTTCTTTTCTTTTTTTTTTCATTTTAGGAAAGTAATATCCTGAAAACACCCAGAACTGCTGAATGAGAAGTTTATTTGCTAGAGGCATATCAAGTGGAATGGAGCCAAGGATGTTTTTATTTGTGTATTTGACTGACATTTCCCGTGCACTTGATGAAGTAAGCAGGGTTGACTACAAGTGGTATGAACTGTGTTGTATCCTATAATGGAAGAAAGTATGTGGTGCAAATGGAGAAATAAGGTTGGTCCTCTGATGTCGGCTCATGAGTTTTTTAATTTTATTTGATTGTGATGATCCTGATGGGTTCCAGCAGTTAATCTGGGTGTTTGTAATAAGACAGAATAGATGTAGGGGTGGGGAGCTCTTGGGTACTAGACTGTACAGGTTTGTGCAAAGATCTGATGTTAAATGTTTTTGATTAATGAGCTCCCTTGTGCCTGTGACAAATCATTTCATGCCTGTCCTAAATAATGGCCTTTTATTTCGAAGGTAGCTGTCATATACGTACCTGGTGGCATGGTATTTATCTAGCCTTGCCTGTGAACAACTGCCTGCCTGCACATGCTAAATGTGACTTCAAAGTGTAGGCCAAGTCTGTAATTAAACCTGTCAATTTAGAGATCCCTGTATAGATCAAATTTATTTAGGCCAAAGACGTTGTGCTTGATGTAAGAAAGGGAATTTTATGTTATTTGTAAACAAATGAAAGTGTTTTAAGACCATGTGGACAGGAACTTCTTGGAAAATGGAAACTTATATTGAAATGTAAGAAGACTACATTTTTGCTTGTAGATGCAAGAAATGGTTCATGTAGATATATTTTGTTATTTTTTTATGTACATCGTGGATTTTGACACCCAGGGTGGTGACTTTCGTGAAACGGTTTCATTTTTTGATTTATTTATGCCAGTCAACATGTCGGACCGTGATGGCGAGACGCACAGTGTGATACTAAATGAAACGAGCTATTGTATTTATAGAATTGGGTTACTGGCACGTGGCTCATTTGTTTCTTTACTGAACTTTGCTAGCAAGAGATTAAATAAAAGATGTCATTGCTTAATGCTTTCCATGTTTCTAAGCTTATTACTTTCATTTGTCTTTCAATCTAAATTTTGACTGATCTCGAAGTTTCCATTTGGTACAATTCTAGCAAGTGCTGTTTTAACTGTGTATTTAGTGGAGGAACTCTTCATGAATTGAGTATTTAACATTGTTGCACATGAATTAGTGTTTATTACCTCCTTTACCTAAAGTTCAGTTCCTTGAGTTTATCTCAAGTCTCATTTATTTTCATATCGACTTTGACTTATTGATCAGTTTGACTGAATTGTGCCAGGTCGTATGTATTACTGTAAGTTATCTGAATGTGTTGCTGTGCAAGTGTTTTTTTCTGGAGCGGATATGTCAAAGGTATATATTGTAAATTTTCAAAGTTTGTTGCATGTGTTGTATATGAATTGGTCGGTCTTCCTGACATAGGATGTCATACTTCACATTTTCCTGGACCATTGCAGGTTTAGAAGCCTGCATTTTGTTGGCCTATTGTTGAGCTGTTGAGGCAGTTGTCAGGGATTTTAAGATTTGCTGTTTGAATACAAAATGTTCTTCTGACTCCATCTGTTAAGGGCTGTGGTGTGTGCGGTGTGGATAGAAGTGACTCCATACGCCTCGTGGGCTTCCTCTAAGGTTGCAATTGTACTGACTGCATGGAAATGGGTGATCTCAGTGTGGAATGTTTCCCAAGGTAGACGAAACTGCAGTGGTTGCTCTTCAAGGGTCTAGTTTAAGATTTAGAGTGTTGTTAGTGTGCTGTTTCGCAAATCTTGATGTTCAAAATTTGAGAAAGCACTCGCAGTGTAATCCCTCAACACTTGCGGCACATTAGCTTTTTAATTTTCAATCAAGTATTGTTCATCTTAATCTGTCCTTGTAGTGCTGAGGCCCGCACAGTGGGCTCGTGAGCATGCAGTGAGCCATTGCCTAATCAGTGAGCAATGTTACTTTTGGCCATCAATAAATAAATTATCTGAATCAATCCCTTCCGTTGTCATTGATGTTTACCTCTTATTATTGAATCCTACACGTACTTGGTGACAAGTTTTGAGAAGTGAGCCCGGTCGGGAATCTGCGCTGCGAACAGCTCGCCGGAATCCAGAACCCATATGGATCCTGCTGGGGCTCTCTTGACCATGTGGAGCACTGCCTTGGACGCTGCCCGGGTCCTGCGTGACGTGGAGGGGTTCCTTTGACCTAGGGCTAGCAAACCCTTAGCTTCGAGTCCGAACAGAGCCGAGTCGCATCCTCTCCTCTCTGTTCCCACAAGGCACCGCCGCCGCCACCCCGAGTGCGAGAGAGAGCGAACTCAGCGAGACGTTGGTTCAATGCAAAGAGGCTTACGATTGGCGCGGGGTGTCGCCGCCCCCGCCCTTGGCCTGCTCGCTGTCTGTCTGCCCGCAGCACAGGCTGACCACCCGCACGCCCGTCCTGGCGAAGTGGTCCTTGAAGCTGCGGGTGGCGCCCACCACGCCGTGCTGCGCCGCGCAGTGCGCCGGGGAGGCCCCGAAGGGTTGCAGCCCCGCCACGCCCCCGTTGTTGACCACCACGCCGCCGCAGTGGCCGCGGTCCCGGCCCATGTACTCCATGGCCAGCAGGCAGCCTCGCAGGACGTTGGCCTGCAGTGGCAGAGTCACTGTCGTCGCGTCGCGTCGCGCGTCGCTGTCTCTCTCGCTCGTGGGGGCCACGTCTGCGTGCAAGAGAGAGAGAGTCCCGGACCGGTGGGCGAGCTGCGATCGCCTTGCGGGTAGGCCCGCCCGCCGAACCGGTGCGTGTCGCGGGCCTGCCTATTCACTCTTGCCAGGCGCTCTGCGCTCGCTAGACTCGCTAGGATCTTGAACTAGAGAGGCCGCGCCACGAGTGATGTGCCGTATGGTCTCAGGCCTTACGGGCTCACCAGGTTGACGTGGAGGTCGTGCTCCCAGCCGCCGCCGCCCAGCAGTCGTGGGTTGTTGAACATGATGTCGACACCGCCGAAGCGCCGCACGGTCTCTTCGAACACATCTGTGAGGCAGCCAATGGCAGCGGCGAGCCGCGCCACGTTAGCAATACCGGGCCGGGCCTCGCTCCCGGAGGACTCGCGGGGACTTGCCTTTGAACTGGTTGGCGCAGGACGTGTCGGCCTGCATGAACACCGCCCTGTCCGCGCCGTGGTGCGAGCACAGCTTGGCCGCCGCCTCCAGGCCCGCCTCGCAGTGCGTGCCCGTGATGACCACGCTCTGCGGCACTCAAGGAAGGCATGAGCCGAGTCGGGCACTGTGTTATCGTTTTATTATCAGAGAGGGAGCCTCCCCTCACCCTGCCTCACCTCGGCCCCCTGGCACAGCAGCTCTTGCGCCGCGCCGAAGCCCACGTTGGTGGTGCCCTCCGTGACCAGGCCCACCTTGCAGTGCGGGTCCATCAGGTCGTTCCTATCGGCACCGCTGTGGCTGCGGGACGGACCGAAACGTCTTGGTCGGTGGTTCTGCTTGACCGCGAGAAGGACTCGACTCAGTCAACCGACTCAAATGCGTCCAAAAGTCGCCTAAATGGCGTGTTGAAAAAAGTTGAGATCGCCGGCCCATCTCTCCTGCCACTATCACTCCAACAAAACACAGCACAGCATGCGGACTGATCTGATTCTGACCAGTGCAGGGGCGGGAACAGGGCGCGCGCACAGTGCTGGAGTCTGAGGGCGGTCTGAAGGCAGGGGCCATGGCGGAGCAGGTATTTGGCGGGCCCCACCAAGGGCCCCACCAAGGGCCCCACCAGGAACGCCGCCCGCCCCAGCTGCCCCAGCATGGCGGCGGGAATGACTTTCCACTGATAATTTGGTTGAGTTCGTCAGCCGAATTGCGATGATGTCCTGAAACGGTTTCCATGGCGCCAGCGACAATGTTCATCACCTCGCGGTGTTCGGCTTCTTGCAGGCGGAGGGCGGAGCGTCCCTTTAGCGTCTGAGTCTCTCAGTCTCAGTCGTCGCAGAGGAGCTTCTCCCGGAGCAGGGGCCTGCGGTGTGGCGGCACGAGCACGCTGAGCGCGGCGACCAGGGCCTCCCTGGGCAGGCGGGGCCGGTGCGGCAGGTCGCCGAGGTGGTGCACCCAGACGTGGCCGGCGCGGTCCCCCGACACCAGGCTCAGCCCGTCGCGCGCCCAGTCGACGCGGGTGAACCTCTGGGCACGCTCGTTGACCACCACGGCCACGGGGCGCGCGGAGGCGGCGCGCCGCGCGATGTCCCACACCTGCAGCTCCTTGCCCGACGCGGTGGCCAGCAGCGTGGCGTGGCACGGCGACCAGGCCGCGGACTCCACGGCGGCGTTCTGCGGGCTGCACAGCTTGACCAGCGGCTCCTCCCAGCCGCGCAGCCACAGGCACGCCGTCCAGTCCGCGCCCGCCGTCAGGTACAGGTTGCCGCAGAAGGGCGACCGCCGGATGGCGTAGATGGGGCCGGCGTGCGCGGCGCTGAGCACGGGCCGGCTGGAGCGGCGGTGCACGTGGCACTCGGCCACCACGCCCTCCTTGGTGGCGACCAGGTAGCGCGTGCCGGGCAGCAGCGCCACGCACAGCGCCGACAGCACGCGCGGCTCGCACGCCCCGGGGTCGGCCACGCCCTTGGCCGCCTTGGGGCTGGACCGGCCGGGCTCCGGGTAGTGCTGCACGCGGCACAGCGGGTACGACTCCCAGTCGCGGTCCAGGTTCCACTTGCACACCCAGCCGTCGTCGCCCACGGCCAGCACCTCCTCGGCGCTCGCCACGAAGTCCGTGTACGTGAACCACTGCACGTCCCACACGGGCGCGAAGGCCGTGGGCGCCTTGCCGCTCTGCAGGCGGCGGACGGCGCGCGCGTCCTCCACGTGCAGCGACACGTCCACCACGTACACGTGGCCCGCCTGCACGGCCGCGGCCAGCAGGTTGGGCCGGTCCGCCGAGAAGCTGAGGGCCGTCACCGCGCTGGAACAGAACAGGGCAGCCGGCATCGATCGTGGAGCGTCGCCAACTACGCCAACCGAGCGAGGCGGCGAGGGCTTTGCCTGGCCCTGCCTCGCCGCGCTCGACTGCGAGACGGAACGCATTGCCCGTTCACAGTGGGTCAGAAGACTGGAGCCGGTGGCCAAAATTCTAGACGCGCTTTGAGCTCTAGACGGACTCGAAACGAACGTGTGACCCCACTAATTGATTCCCTCGTTCGGTCGGAGAGCAATCCTATTGGCGGGGTCAGACGTTAGGTTCGAGTCCCATTTAGCGACTCTGGGCCTTCACCGGTCGTCTGGTTCACTGCGACTCCCCAGGTTCTCCAGGCCCTCCAGGCCCACCCATACCTGTCCAGGCGGTAGATGCGCTCGGGCTGGAAGGGGTTCTTGATGCTCCAGCAGCACACGAGTCCGCGCGCCGGGTCGTCCGACAGCAGGTAGCAGCCGTAGCCCGCGGCCAGGATGGTGCGGTCCTTGCCGTTCCACGCCACGCCCGTCACCGTCAGCCCCTCCGTGTCCGGGTTGTACAGCTCGAACAGCCGCGTGACCACGTACCGGAACTCGGAGGGCCTCTGCCGCGCCACCAGCCGGGGGTGCCCGATGAAGATCTCCTGTAGAGAGAACGCAGCACGCCAATGGCAGCAGCGGCGCCGAGTGCTGTCGCGGCACTGTCTCCCTCGCACCTCGGCGAGACGCCCCATGAGTGCGAGAGAGACGGACGTGCAACAAGGGCGGACGCACCTGGCGGCGGCGGTAGCTGTTGGAGGCCAGGAGGCGCTCGCAGATGGTGGCGGCCAGGCGGAACTCCCTGGACTCCAGCAGGTCCTGGCTGGACTTGAGCAGACGGCGCCGCGGAGACACGGGCTGCTCGCCGATGCGGATGATGGTGGTCCTGGAGGCCGCCTCCCTGGCCGTGGCGGCGGCGAGGCGCGCCCAGCCGCTGCCTCGCACCTTGGGCCTGTCCGGCCTGTCCGGCCTGTCCGGCCTGTCCGCCGCGTCCACGCCGTCCTTGTCGCTGCCGTTGCCGGAGCCGCTGGCCGGCGTGGCGGAGGGCGTGGCGGGGGCGGTGAGCAGCGACCGGCTGGAGGACGCCGGCGGCGCGTCCTGCCGCGGGGCGACCGGGGCGATGGCGCCGGACCTGGCGCCGCCGCGGCCCGCCAACCTGCTGGCGATGTTCACCTTGCGGAAGGTGTCGTACAGGTCCCACTCGGTGGCGAACAGCTTGACGCTGCTGCTGTGCACCGCCATGGTCTGTGTGCGCTGCTTCTTGGTGAGCGTGACGGCGGTCTGCGCCTCGGCGTGGTGGCGGTGCCGCAGCCGGCCCTCGGCGTACGTCAGCCAGAAGTAGTGGCCGTCCTCGCGCCGCGACCGCGCCGCCTCGTCGCCCGCCTCCGCGCCGTGCCACGGCAGGCACTTGCTCACCAGCTCGAACAGCCAGAACGTCCTGGTCTCCTGCAGGAAGTACGTCGTCCGCGGCTCCGGCGGCGGCTTGTAGTGCCGGATGGCCTGCAGTGCCTGCAACAGGACCAACCCGATTGCCGAGTCTCGCGAGTCCCGGACAACGCCCACGCGGTTCGCGGTACGCGGTGCTGACCTGCAGGATGGGCGTCGGGATCCGCGGCGGTGGCGTGGACGCGGTGTCGTCGATGTCTCCCTCGCCGCCGTCCTCGTCCTCGTCGCCGTCCTCGCCGTCTTCCCCCGCCGCCCTGGAGCCGCCCCCTTGGCTGGCCGCCTCAGCGCCGGCCTCGGTGTCCTCGTCGTGCCGCTCCGAGCCAGGGCCGCCGCCAGGGCCGCCGCCAGGGCCCGCCCCGGAGGAGGGCGTCGGCGTGCGGTCGTCCGGGAGGGTGGCGATGTAGCTCTCGGTGGTGGTGCGCACCACCTTTCACAGTGACAGTGAGTAAGCTCTCGCCGACAGTCGGTTATTTGCCACGCACAGCCGGTTCACCTGGCCGAAGTCTTGGAAGCTGTCCACGATGAGCGGCTCCTCTTCATCGTCCTTCCCCTCCTCCTCGAACCCACTGAACACCAACGGCTGCGGGGTGACGTCCTCGTCGTTCTCGTCGTACAGGCGAATCCTTTCGCTCCTGAATCCAACATTCACAAACAGGCATGGCGAACACCGCAGGGAACAGGGCAAACAGATTCAACGTGAATGGAGCCCCTGTCCTGCCGGGGAGATAAAAGGTGCCGTGCTGGCCCTCGGCGCCTCAGCGCAAGGCGAATTACCTAACCGCGGGATGATGGGTGGGAGGGGGAAAGGGTGTGTGCTGTGTGTGCTCTGCGGTTGGGGAGGGAGTGCGTTTCCGATCGGTGGCTCTCGCGGCCACTCGCGGCACTGGAGACTGGATCCGGAATGAACGTGCCAAATGCGACAGGCTCTAGGTGTTCCTAGACGGCAATCACACGGCATCTGTGTGGGTGGCAAAGTGCGAGCAGTTCCGAGGTGCTTCACTCATTGGTCCATTTTGCTTTTTGATTCCTACAGTGCCGGCGGCCGCGCGGCGTGCAGTCCAAACACTCCCGAACCATGCATGGAGAAGTACCAAAATTGGTCACGGTCGAAGACTTTAACTAGCGACCCCATTCAAGGCTCTTTCGGCGAAGTTCGCCGATGCGTCACGAACAAGGTGGAGAATGCACCAGGGGCACAAACAAGGCGTTAGTTACAAAACAGCTGACCAATACAGGAAAGGGAAGCTGTTCGTCCCAGGCGTCCACCACTCCCGACATTAAACTGGTATTTCGGGGAAAAGGCAGAATGAAACTATACTCATAAAATGATTAGACTTTCTATTTGTTTCTCAAGTTGATGTTGCTTGAGATGATACAAGTTGACAATGCGTGGCATGGCGGCTTGAAAAACGTTCCAGCTGTAGCGTCGCTAGTTTGGCTACCCTGCGTATCAAAGTAAACTTCGGCCAACGGCACGGAGCCTGGTTCGCGGGCCGAGGGTGTGTTTTGTAGACAAAATTATCTGATCTTCCAAATCCGCTATGCCACCTAAAAAGCGAGATAAAGAAGGAGAAACGTCCAAAACCCAGCGGTCCGATGCGGCGAAAAATGACCACGACCTTTTCCTGCAAGCATTTGAGAGTGAGTACTGTAAAATGGACGTTGAAATGTGGAAGCGGCCGCTGCGCTACGCCCGGCCATTGCCTAAGCCCAAGGCCCAATGCAAAACAATAAACAATTCTTGTCGAATTATTGCTGTTGGGTTTCCGCCCAAACGCCCAGTCCTGTGAGGGAATCGTCCGTCTAGGTTTCCCGTTATAATTGGCGTAAATATTGCCAGCCTCTGCTATGGATGGGAGGCAGAAGGCCTCTCGCCCGTTCCCTCCACTTATGTACAGGTTATGCAGCCCTTTCATTCCGGCATTCCGACACAATGTTTTTTTTTATTCAAGTTGCACTCAGTTAAGGGTTGGAGTGGTACAAGAAATACTCAATGGGATAAGAAATTTTCGTTTATCTTCATTATAAAAGTCCCAGCATCATTTCCAGTAGTTTTGTTTATAGTCTTTATTTAAAATTTTCCTCACTTTGTTTCCTTATTTCAAACGTTCAAAACTACTAAATTATCATTTCTGTCCCCTCTTTCTTTCTTCCAGAACCTACACAGATTTATAGATACCTTAGAGTCAGGAATGCAAATTCTGTGAGTATTAATAATTAAAGACACCCTTGTTGCTCCGGCATGTCAACCTCTCATTCAACAACATTTTTGTCTCTACTCAACAGCCAATATTTTTACAACGCAATCTTAGTTACATGCAGTACCGCATGTCCAGGAGTCATAAAAGTCGAAGAAATTTTGAGGTGGATTCAATACTAGAAAGAGTATCAAAAAGTCTTGTTCCTGCTGCTCTCAGGGGCGGTTTTATGACCATTACTTTCCTTGGGTTTTATGACAAGAAACCTGGTATGTTTAAAACTTTGGAAATCTCTTACTAAGTTCATGCCACTCACTAATAGAAACTTTTAAAATCAGTCCCTGCCTGTGAAGCGCCCAAAGAACCTGTAAAAGTTGAGACACTGCTGTTAAAAATATGCCACAAGAAAAGAAAGGACACCACTTCACCAGTTATGTCTGTAAGTAGAAGAAACTGTTGTCTCTGAATTTTATATTGTGTCATTAGACGCTATTTCATTGTATCACATTTCATTTAAGGTAACTGTTGGGACGAGTATTGTCCCAACTAATCCATCAGAAGAATGTCCTCCTCCCAAAGCGCCAACAGTTTCAATTTCAGTCGATGAATTTTGTGAGGATCCAGGCGAAGTGAAATCGTACCATCTACTTTTGAGGGTGTATAATGCCCCAGTCAATGGAGCAAACGGCAGTGATCAAGAATCTGGTATGTTCTACTGCAGTTTTGTTAGGGGGTTGTTTTAACTCTTTGGATAGTATGATATACTAATGGTGACCTTATTTACCTTCAGTGGAACCTGTTACCAAAAGACGCAGAACATCAACAAGCCGTGATGAGATAAAATTATTTGGGACAGACCTTGTGATATATGACAAGCAGAAGCAGTGCTTGTTGGGTGATGGTGATTATGAGTTACTGATGGATGAGCTGGTGCAACCAAGAAATTTACCCAGGAAATTTCCATCCTGGGAGCCAATTGGAGATCTCAATGAGGTAATTATGTTAGAACACAATCCACTTTTTTCCCCCTACTACTCAATGTTACTTTTGAATTCTCTAAATCAATCTTTTGGATGGTGTGCTTTCAATTGTATTGCTTGTGAGTGACACAGTTCAGTTTGTGGGTTGTTGGTTGATATAGAAACAATGTAAAAACATTAAGTTGTAGGCATTTTTTTCTAAATTAATTTTGGGAAAATAGATTCAGAATTGATTTTGAAAAGTAAGAAACTTTAATTGTTTATTAGCTAGTTCAGGAAAGCTGCATCGGTATAGTTTGGGTTATGTGTCTTCAAGTCAGGTGGCAAGTAGAATGATCTCAGATCCAAACAAATTGTGTCCTCCAACATATTTTTATTTTGTGTACTGCATAAACATGTTGAGTGTCAGTGCCTAGACAGTCTAGACTACTTTTCACTTTGCCCTATTAGCTTGCTCCTCTGCAGCGTCTGCGAGAATTCGCAGTTACAGATTTTATGGTAAGTGCCAATTCAGCATGTCTTGCTGGTTGAGCCACCAAACAATTCCTTGTGCTTCACATAAGCATATTCTAGACTTGCCCCCCTGTCCGTGTCAAGCTTAAAATGCATCTTTCCGCTAAGCTGTCAATAACTGAGAGCATTTGAACTTAGAGACCCAACTTGATGTCTGTTGTACATAATTTAATACATCATTCTATCATTAAAACTAACCTGGTTGATAATGGGTTGATGGAAGTGATCCTGCTCCTTTTCCCTTCTTCAATAAGGAAGTGTCTTATATTTTACATCAACTTGTTATCATTATTAAGATAAAACAGCTTAAACGTCACATGTTGACAAACGTACATGTGTGTAACAAAAATAATAATAAGAAAGTTTAGAATCCCTTAGTATATACTTTCAACATAAAGTTTGGCCTCTGACTACCATGCAGTACATGAATTGGCCAAATAATTTGCCTACTAGTCTTCTTTTGCTCCAGTTGATTTGGAGAGGACACCCTTTGGGACAAGTTAATGTACATTGTTTTCCTTGCCTGGAATCCTGTTTGTTATACCTATATGCTTTATGGCTTGTTTTCCCTTCCCTCTTGTTGATTGGTGGGTTATGGGTTTGTGTTTGTCTAACACCCACACCTAGCTGAGCTTGTTTGGTCACTCACTAATTTGTTTTCGTGATAAGGCGCACGGCACTCCTGTGTTATCTTACTCCAATAATATTTTGTTCCATAATTAATAATAAGCTGTTGCATTTACGCTGACAGCGTGTCTTTCCTCCTCAGGATTGCAACTCCTTTGAACTCTTTTCTAACGGACCTACCCTCAAGTTCAAACTGGAATGGTCTAGAGAACAACGGAGCTCCTTTGTAGACCGCCCTCGCCTCATGCCATCCCGAGAGGAAGAAGTTCTGGATAGTAATGGAAATAAAGAAAATAGACAAGGTAACAGCTGATACTTTTTGAAGCTTCTGTGTATCTACTATTGAGTCTTCTAATTGCTCTGTATGCTGTTTGTCCTTTTATATCAAGATCGGGCCGCTAAAAAACAAGTTGGAGACAAGAAAGAAGAAGACAAGAAATCTGGAAAGCCTGTGATAGTGTATCAGTTCCACTACAACAACAATTCTCGTCAGCAAACTGAACCTTGCAGTGACCTGCACTGTCCATGGTGCTCATTAGATTGTGGCTCTCTTTTTTCTCTACTCAAGCATCTCAAACTTTGTCATGCTAGGTTTACTTTTACATATACTGTAAGTTGCAGTTTTCTGTTATCGAAATTTTAAGTTTCTTTTTTCCTCGTCCTTAAGAGAAAACACTTTGTTTTACAGCCCTTACCTAACATGGCTCGTGTTGATGTAGCCATAAACGAGTCTTATGACGGATCTTACACGGGATCTCCTCATGATGTGATTGCTCAGCCTGGAGGATCTGCGTTCTCCAGAAATGGTCCGCAGATCCGCACTTCAGTGTCGAATATTCTTGTTTGCCACCCAAAGAGACAAAAGCCATCACTGTCTGAATTTGTGGAGTTAGAAGAAGAATCCGGTGACTTACAGCGATCTTTTATCACAGGACACAATCGGTAAACATTCACTGTGACAGGTCTTCATAATTTAAAGTCTGTTTTAGAAATGTGCTTATAATTTACGCAAATTTCTTGTTTAGTCTGTATCATCACACCGTAACTTGTCTACCTGTACATCCGAAAGAGATGGACAACGACTCGGAGGGTGAAAATGACCCTAAGTGGTTGCAAACCAAGACAATGATGATGATAGATGAATTCACTGATGTCAATGAAGGTGAAAAAGAGCTGATGAAGATGTGGAATCTTCATGTGATGAAAGAAGGGTAAGATGCAAAATGATGATCAATTTTCAATTTGATTGATGGAAGTGAGTTGTTAAACACATATTCTGCTTTGTGTTGTTTAGATATGTAGGTGACTGTCAAGTACCTACAGCATGCACTAAATTTCTTGAGAAGAAAGGAAAGGAATTGCTGGACAAGAACTTATATCGAAATTTTATTGTCCATATGTGCAGTTTATTTGACTATGGACTGGTCAGTCCAGTGGCACTTTATCAGATAGTCCAACAACTTCACGAGATGGTGAAGGACCATCATGCTACAGCCATGCAGGGATCATGGGAAGCACAGAAAGAGCATTGGATCAAATCTGGTGCAAAGGAGAAGCAAAATACTCCTTCTCATTTCAAGAATCAAGCTCCCTCTGGATTGAATGTTGACCCAAGTGCTCGCCGAAAGCTTTATAGTCCGGGATCATACAAGAGTGAAAGTCCTAGTAGACGCAAAACCCAACAACAAGATGACGATGATGAGGAAGATGATGAGGAAGATGAAGAAGATTATGAGGATGAAGATGATGAGGATGATAATGAAAAAGCTGGTAACCAGAAGAGTAGCTGTTCCAGTTCATCAGCTTCATCCACTTCAAGTGATTTTGTCACAACAAAGAAAAAATGTGTTAGTAGTAGCAGTAGTTGTAGCAGCAGCAGCAGTGATCCCGATAAAAAGAAAATTGTGTCTTCTAAAAATGGGTCTTTTCCTCCTAGTATTCATTCCCAGCAGAAGGGTCCACTTATTCTAGGGAAAGCCCAGTCCACTCAGAGCCAGAAACCTTCATTCAATCTAAACTCAAAACCTCAGCTAGCTGATTCTGGCAGTGCTGATGCTCTTAAGAGGAAGTCACCTTCACAAGGGCTCTCTCCAAGTCCAAGTCAGAATAAATCAAAAAGTATGAGTGGTTTCTCAATTGAACCACCAGTTAAAAAGAAAATAGTTACTCAACCAAATGGCAAACCTCAGGCAATGTCCTCCCAACTTGGAACTGTGAGCTCTGAGCTGAAAAGAAAACTGACCTCATCCATCGGATCAACTGTATTCCCAGCCGGCTCTTCCAACATAAATGAGTCCAAAAAAGTAGTTGTAACCAGTTTGAGCCAGCACATGCAGCCAGTGGGTAATAAAGGCACTTCTCAAGGTGTCAGCGATCCCAAGAAACGAATGTCGCTTCCTGCTATAGCTACAAACGGAACAAAACCTCAAATTAATTGTGTCACTAATTCAGCTGTGCAAAATAATGAATTTAAAAAGAAGCCCACTATTTCAAATGGTGTTCCTCTATTGGCAGATGGAAAACTTATCTCCAACTGTACTGTAGAGGTGTCACCTCTTGTGGAAGAAATTGTGTCTGCAAGCGGCAACAAAGTCCCTTCTACTACCTTTGATCTAATTGATACAAAACGGAAGCCTAGTCTTGGACCGAATTCTATTGGAATACCAACAGATCTGGAAGAAAATGCCATACAGCGAAGGAAGTCCATATGTACTGATTCTCCATCAACTCAAGACAGTAGTTTGGTTTTACTTAGAAGAAAATCATTTTCCAGTAACCAAAGCTCTGAACCCAGTCCGATTCAGACTGTTCCTTCCAAAGGAGTTACCAGCTAGTTGTTAACCCTGATCCTTTGAATATGTGGTCTAAAATTTTGCTTTGCTTTTCACTTAAAATGGTGAATTGGCTTGTGTGATATAAAATTCCTATTTTCCATGTGTTCTTTTCTCCACACTGCCATGGAAGCACTATTATGCTGCTTTCATCCTAGTACTGTGCCTTTGGCATTTAGTCAAATTAAATAGCCTAGCACCTCAAGTTAAAAGGAAAGCAAGGATTATGTCAACTTTTCAGAGGCACAGGCACTGAGGTGTCCTTATATATATATGTATACACGTATAATAAATATGGAAGTGGTAGCGTGTGTATGTGTATGTGCGCCTTGTGCCTACATATGCACACGCCTCTCACTCAAGTCTGTGAATATGTAGTATCCAATGCAATATTTTTTAGAATTGTTATTATGGACATTTGACATGTACCATTGTAATTCGTGCATCACTGTCAACCAAGTGCTCGTCTACTGCCACTCAACAGAGTCTGCTTATTTATTCTAATGAGAATTGAACCTTTAATGTGTGGAGTAAACAAGCCACAGGTAATAATTTGTAACCTGACACTATTTTTGAGTCTTTTGACCATTTTTTCTTGTTCCAATACATGTAGGTTTGTGTCCAGTACAATTTTCAATCTTTGATAAATATTTAAAATTTGCAGCCTGTGTATGGTTTTTTGAAGGGAGTCGGATTCATTAGGTCACCTTAACCTGTCTTCTTTAAGTACTGTTTATGTATTTGTGTTATGGTCCTTGCAATGGCCTTTTAACTTAGCTGCAATTTAATTGTATGAACCATTACCATTTGATTTAATGTGTGATTTTTTTTTTAAATGTGTGAATGCTGCAGTTTTCGTATATAGTTTACATAGTTGTAAGATGTGAACATATTTTACAGATCTAAAGTCTTAAATGAAAAAACGTCTTACCCTTTCCTGGGTTTACTTAGCCACTGATCTGAGCAAATCTTAAGTCAATAAATGAATTGTTATGAGAAATCTGACTGAGAAAGCAGGTAATTGTTATGAAAACCACTTGCTCTGCTATATTTTCCTTTATGAAGACTGAAATCTTATGTTTACCTTGTATTTAAATTTTAATTTAACAGTGGAATTTCATGCTCATACTGTCATAGAGTATTTTTTTTTGATGATGTTCTCTTCTAACACTATTAAATTGCATGCAAATGGAACCCCTTTTGATACACAAAATTTTCTTAACTGTCAAATATTTTGTTAAGTGGCTGATTTTACAGAACTATCAATCTTGGATGCAGAAATAAAATTGTACATTGTATCTGTCATCATGGTGTGCTTCATTGACTTGTACAATTGTATTTTCCCCATAGCTATTCTTATATTTTTTATACTGTACATGTTATTTGATGCAGCAAAGTTGTCATGCAATTGCAGAATATAAATTTATTCACTTGCTGCTCAAGTTATTTTTGTTGATTACAATAGCATATTTTGAAGTGTTGTTGATATGTGTGCAATGTACGCTGAATTTTCCATATTGGATTTTTAAATGTTTGTTTCCAAATTTGTCTTTTTTAAAGGAACTTTTGACTCATGCTCCTAATGGTGTCTGCCAGTGTAATTTTTTTAATCTTATTCTTTTTGTTTTTACTTTATTGCTGTCTGAAAGAAGTGTTTGATGTGACTTTTTGAAATCAGATTGTATGATTTCAAACAATGCGGTTTGGAACATGATTTCTTGTATCTCATCGAGTTGCAAAATAAAACAACAGGTATTGGTGTACAATGTTAAAATTTATAACTTGTATGTTTGGATTATAGTCTTATGTATAACAGGAAACCAAAGATTGGAAGTGGAAGTTCCCTTAGAGCAATTAGTACTGTTTTCTTTCTTAAATCTTACTTTTTAAATGACAAACTAATATTGATTAGTAGCACTGTTTTTGTTACTTTCTTGAAAGAAAGCAAATTAAACTGGAACTTTTCTCATTGGGTTTTTAATTCTAATGCTTGTTGCATTATTGGGTGTGTAACTCCTCATCTGTGAATCTTAATGTCTGGGCCTTCACAATTGATGTATTCATTTTCCTTTTATATCCAGGCATTTCCCTTGAATATGCAAGCAAGTGGGAGAGGAATATTTATTGTTTTGATGGTTGGAAAATTATGTTGTTTTATGGTGAAGTTGAAGCCATAGCATTAAGTGAGATTTTTTTTTTTTCGTTTTCCTTTTTGTTGGACTGTTAAGGTTACTTTACTCTCCTAATCTTAATTTCTAGAATTGTTTCCTCCTTGTTTCAAAGATTGTGATGAAAACAATTTTGTGTACATTGTGCCTTTCTTACTTTTAATGGTCTTGTAGATCTCTATGCAGTAGTCATGTTAATCAATACAGGAGTCGGTCTTTTCACTTTGTTAACCAATACTTAAAGTGTGGAGATGTTTGTTTATCCAAACACCATGCACTCTATTATATGAATGCAACTCCATCTTTTATGTGTGTGTATGTTCACATTTAACACTGCCAGAATGGTGTCATTTAAGTTTGTCCTTGGGTATTGTATCAAGACCTGTAATAAATCAGAATTCTTTATACTTGATGTGTAAATTCCTTTATTCAGAATGTTCTCACAACAAACATCAAATACTTTTGTTTTGAAACAGACTCAAGTTTTTAAAATTCAGGACAGATAGTGCACCTTGAGAGAGAGACAGAATGGCCTTGGTGCAGTGCCTGTGGAAAGTGCTGTTAGAAGTACACTATTTCCCACCTTTTCCTTTCCCAGCGCTTTCCGGCCCGGGAACGTTAGAACTCTTATAGAGTCCCTACGGCTCTAGAACTCAACTCTAGTCTAGGACAGTAAAATTTTTCATCACCAAATCTCAGAAGTGAACTAACGTGAACGTGAATCAGGCCCTGCCCCTACCCGCGAAAGCATCCCAGGCACAGGCCTCCCATGCATTCCCTCTCCCTCCCTCCGTCCCTCCCTCCCCCTTCCCTCCCAGTCGTTTGTCGTTTGCGCTTTGGCTGGCTGCGCTCGCGCTCGCCGCTGGGCTCGGCTCGGACTGGACGGACTGGACTTGGACGTAGTGGCGTAGCCAGCGAGAGAGGTTGTCAAGTGACGGAACGGCGGGGAGGTCGCAGCGGTTGCGTCGCGTCGCGTCGCAAAGGGTTCATTCATTGGCTTTTGGCCCGCATCGCATGTTCGGTGCCGTGAGTCATCAAGGCGCAGTGTAAGGTCGGTGCTCTGCGGAACGGAACGGAATGTCTCAAGACAACGACAAGAAGAAGCAAGTGCGTGTGTGGTGCGATGGCTGGTAAGTCGAATCGGCCCTGGCCCTGGAGGATGTTGGTCGGGGCGAAGCAGTGGGCAGTGGCAGTAGGGGGCGGAAAAGCACAGATCGCCGTGCAGCCGCAGCCAAGGCTAGGGGCACTGACACGGACACGGGCTTAACCTGCCTTGCCCTGCCCGCGGCCCGCGCTCGCTGTCGTCATGAAATAATGTTTAGGTCGCAGTCGCTTCATCGTCCATCGTCCGCCACTTGGCTTGAGGCCGCGGGCCGTTCTGCGGATGCGCGACAATGTGGCGCGGCAGGGCGCCGTGGCAACGCAACGTGCTTAAATGCGCGCGTGCGGTTTCCGCGAACGACAATCTAACCTTGAAAAACACTAGACGAATCATTCGACATTTATTACTTGTTTAGCAATCCCATTGCATGAATAGGGCTCCTCAATTAATAATTTAAAAAATGGAGACAGAAACTTACAAAACAAAAACAATGACACATTGAATTGGTGTAAAAATAAAAATGAATGAAAAAAATAGACAAAGTTAAATTTTTTAAATAATTTGTCACAATATTAATAAATTGATGAATTTTCTGTTTTCTGTACACTGGAGACATTTGATTTAACCACTGTCAACCTGTTTGCTTTGATTACAGCTATGACATGGTTCATTTTGGCCATGCCAACTCATTGCGTCAAGCCAAAGCTCTTGGAGGTTACCTGATTGTTGGAGTGCACACCGATGAAGAAATTTCTAAACACAAAGGACCACCTGTGTTCAGTCAACAGGAAAGGTGAGTGGCTCCTGTTCCTAGTTCTTGTTATAAAATCCTCCTCATTATTATTTATTATTTATAGACTTTAATAGTAAAGTAGTTGCATGAATGTTAAGTGATTTAAGTTTAACAAATAAAAGATATGAACAGAAAGAGGGTTGGATGCAGCCTCAAAACAGAATGGGGGAATAAACCATACATGAATAATAATAAAAATAAAAGAAAAAGATGTGATTGTATTATCAAAGGAACGGCTGATAATGCTTTCCTGCAGCATGCATTCTGGGTCAGAAAATTATTTTTGTGGTCATTTCACTCCTCTAATCTAGAAAAGTCATGTTTACTCTGCACCACTCCATTTGAGTTACCTCTCAAACTCATCTGAAAACATGTAATTTTTACATTTTGTTGCTTGCAAAGTGTGTTAAAAAAATTTGAGGTCTGCAAATTACAATTTGAAATTTTTGATTGCAGATATAAAATGGTGCGAGGCATTAAATGGGTGGATGAAGTCGTTGAAGGAGCACCCTACGTAACAACACTTGATACCCTTGACAGATATGGTTGTGACTTTTGTGTACATGGAGGTAAGTTCCAGCAATTGTTTAGTTTGAAATTGTGCCAAACTAAAGCACTTCACATTGATTGATTTTTGTGGTTTAGATGACATAACCATGACAGCGGATGGGGTGGATACTTATCACCTAGTCAAGAGTGCTGGACGATACAAGTAAGTACTTTAAGAAAAAAAACACCCAAATTGTTTTAGTGTTTTGAAGACTTTTTGATCATTTTGTTATAACTTCTTTCACCTTTCAGAGAGGTATCAAGGACTGCGGGTGTGTCAACAACTGATGTTGTTGGACGAATGCTGCTTCTGACAAGAGAACATTTCCGACAAGGTGAAAGAGAGTATGAAGTTAGCCGTGAATCTTCCTCTACTATGGGTCTTGACTCTACTGCACGTAGCCCGTGGACTCGGTGCTCTCAATTTTTACCTACTACCTCAAAAATTATTCACTTTAGTGATGGCAAAGAGCCTAAGGTATTGATTTTGTATGAAAACTGAATCATAATTTAGTATAATTAAAATAAAATATAAAATACTATCATTTTATTTCTTTTGACATTTTTCAGCCAGGAGATAAAATTGTCTATGTAGCAGGAGCATTTGATGTTTTTCATGTTGGTCATCTGGACTTTTTAGAGCAGGCTCGTAAACTTGGAGATTTTCTCATTGTTGGTCTTCACACTGATCCAGTTGTTAACAGATACAAGGGTAGTAATTATCCTATAATGAATCTTCATGAACGTGTGCTTAGTGTTCTTGCGTGCAAGGTATAACCAGTTTTATTTAGTATCTTTTACTTCACTCTACTGACCAACTAATAATTATTTGATTTTAGTATGTTTCAGAGGTTGTTATTGGTGCTCCTTATGCAGTAACAAAAGATCTCATGGAGCACTTCAAAGTTGATGTAGTTTGCCATGGTAAAACTCACATTTCACCAGATATTGATGGGAGGGATCCATATCTTGAGCCAAAAGCCCAAGGTAAATTTGTCACGATTGATTCCCAAAATGATATGACAACCGAGAAGATTGTGAACAGAATAATTATGCACAGGTTGGTTCCTATTGCTGAAAGGCTTTACTCTTATTTACTTACGTCATTACTTACTACTACATTGCACTCTGTCTTTCTTTTGTAGACTGGAATATGAAGAAAGGAACAGGAATAAAGAAAAGAAAGAACTTGCAGCTTATGAAGCTCACATGAAAAATATTCAGAGCAAAGTTCCCTGCAGTAACCATTGCAGCAACAGCAAACTGAACAGCTCTATTGGAGGTTCACAACCTACAAATGTATCAAACTAGACATTTTCTCGTTTGAAAGAGTCTCAAAAGGGAGACAATTGCATCCCCTGAAAATGGTCTTAAAATGTTATTGAAAATATTGATAAGACAGTCTTCTTGTTTTAAAATACCATTCAGCGTCTAAGTGCATCTTTGAATGTCAAAATACTATATAAGTCAGTTACTCAAGGAGATGATAACTCTTATGGATATTGGTCTCTACCTTTTCACCCTGTATGTAGTTTCCAACCTGTAAAAAAAATCATATTTGTTGGCTTCTTAAAACTTCATCATTCCCAATCCATTGGCTCTCACTGGACCGTGTAAATTTGGTTTTCTGAATTTTCATAACCTTTTTGTTAGCTTTGGTTCCATTTTCCATTTCCATTTTCTTTTTGTTTTGCTTGAGGTCATTCCTCACTTGAGTTTAAAAAAACAAAAACAAACGAAATTGCCCTTTAACACTCATGCAAGGCATGTCTCCTTTTTACTGTTCCAGGGTAAACCCAACCGTGAATGGGTCTTCCTGTGAATAGGTCTTCCGCAATTTCTGCTTGTTCTGAACTGTTTTCCAACCTTGTGCTAAGTTTTTCTCGGTCATGTTATTCCTTATCACTTACACTCTTCTCATGTGATAGATGAAAATGTAATCCTTGTACCCTGTAGGAGTGATAGTAGGTACGGTTTAGTTATTGACACTGCGGCAGGTAATGTTGGAAATATTACTACGCTTCATTGATTGAACTCATGTATTGTGTTCTTCCTTCTACAAATAGGTTTTTTTTTGTTTTGTTTTTTAAAGTGAAAGTTTCATTTATGCTTCCAGTAATTTTAAACTATTTGTTGCTGATTGACCTTTTGAAATCACTTATTAAACAAATTTAAGTCATTTGAACAATATGTTAATTTTGTTCATTTTGATTGACTGAACACTAAGTAGCATAAATTCCACTCTTTTGATACTTTTTTCAACCAAAACTTTATGCATTGACAGCTTTGTCCTGCAACAGTCAACCAGTACACATTCACTGTAGGTTTTGAGTGCTAGGCGAGCTGTAGGTGCATAGTGTGTTTGTGATTTTTAATGATCATGGAATGAATGGACATTCCATCCATGCAAAAACTTTAGATTTATGTATTTGTGTTGTACTGTTGATAATGTTTAAAAATTGTTTTATTTTGTATTGGAGCTTTTAGTGCCATTTGCTGGAAAGTTTAACATGCTTCTCATGATCTTCTGGTATAAAAAATGATTGATGGAGTTCAGTGTTAGAACCCTGTGATTTGATTGCTTTTTCTTAGAGTTTGATTTCTGGCACTGTAGTATGTTCCTATATTTTTTCTTTGACTGTTGACAGTTAATGCTAGTCTAACAGTTGAAGGAAAGCATGTGGCTCAAAGAATCTTCCTTAACTGTCAATACCATGCTCATCCTCTCATCAATTTCCTATTACTATTACTAATTAATTTTGAGATCCTGGACTAGTCCTATTTTTTGTTCTGTGAGTCGTTTGATGTAAATTATTTTTTTTTATGTGGAGTGTAGATCGTAGTACTTGAGCTGTGGCGGAGTTTTGATTTTAGTGTGTTTTAATGCTGCCCATTTTATTTTTTTAATTCTCTTGAAGATGGAAGCAGATTTCTATTTACCTTTTCTTAAATGACAAGAGAGAGAGAGTGTGCAATAACTTCTTTAAAGTATTAGATTAATATGCTTTAGTTAGAAGAGAATTGATATTGTATTTTGAATTAGACTTGTATTCCAAGTTCAATTAGTTAATTCCACGCATATGCCTTGTTTTTGTCACTTTGTGATCAAATTAAGATGAAGTGCTTCAAGTTTGTCTTCCACTCCTAGGTTTTTGTTTTTGTTTGTTTTTCTTTTTTTTCAATTTTTATAAGGAAGTCAGTGCTGCTCGCAAAATTGAGACTCTTTAGTCTGTGAAAGTATAAATTGCTGGCATGTATTCGTAGTATGTTTTGTGCTGGTGTGTATATGGGTGTGTGCACTGGTGCGTTTGTCTCTGCGTGCATGTGTGTGTGCGTGCGTATGTGAGCGTGTGTTTGCAAGTGTGTTTGTGTTGGTTTTTTGAGTGAATAAATTTTATGCTATAATTTTCGCTCAAGGGCTCAATTTTCTTGCAGCTTCTCAAGCACATCATGATAGAAAATTTTATAAGGATTGGTATTTTTACTATGCTGCTCTCTACTATAATAAAACTAAATCTGAAGCCATGAAGTTGAGTTGCTGCCATGTTTGTAGGAATAAATTTTGTGGATAGCTAGGATCTTACTGTTTGCCTGTAATTTGCATGAAGTAGTCAGTTTACCTATTATTTCAGATTAGTTTCATAGCATGTATTGTTGTTATTATTGCTACTTCCTGATTATATTTAAACCTTTTTGTTGTGGACGTAACTAATTGTATGTGTTAAAAACAATTTTACATGAGATGATGTATATTATTATTTGGGTTTATGTTGTTTTTATATCTTCCCATTTATTCCAATTTATGGTTTAAGTGAAATGAAAGTTATTTCTGAAAAGCTGCTTGTTTATGTGCTTTTTTTCTCAGAGCTAAAATTTTACAAATCTTCTTACTCTGAGCAACAACAGTTTACAGATTTTTCTTATCCATGTATTTTTTGGGTTTCCTTTTTTTTGCATCCTATGTCTAATGAATAATTCAAGAAAAAAACCAGAACATTACGACACTGCAGTGTTTATTGTAGTACACTGTAGGAAAATGTAAGTTAACATTCCATGCATTGTTGTTTTGTAATTCTTATACTGGGTCATTCTGGGTAATATTTGTTGTTACAATTCTATATTTGAACGAAAAGTAGATGTAGTCACGATTGTCCCATGACATTCTTTACACTTTTATCCCGTTTTTCACAATGTTGGATGACTGTTTTGTCTTTCAAAACAGTAGATCTAGTAATTTTGTGTTCTGGCATAGGTTTAGGCCAATATATTTCTTAAAGTTTTACCCCAACACCACTTACCTATACACTATTGTTCTGCTATTCCAAGTGAAATATTTTTCCTCTTTTGTGGAGACCTTGTATTGTTCACAAGTTTGAATTGTAGCTTATTTCTCAAATTGCCTTGTTCTTTGGTCTGTTGCCTAGTCATATCACCAATGTAGATAATTGGGACCTGATTTCACACATCTTGTTGCTATTTTATCGCCTAACGGATCGTCAATGGACCAAACAAAATAGTTGAGACATCTAAAGAAATCTTAATTAAGTTTACTTTGTTCAGTTCTGTTTATTGTATATATATAAAGGTACTTCATTTAATAAATGCAATTGTGCTGTTAAATGATATGTTGTCTCTTATCACATTTCACTCAAGCAGAATCCAAATGCTGCAAAATTTGGAGAGCCAACATAGGGAACTCTTTAGCCCATACCGTGAAAAAAGCATGAGGTATGTAGCTTTCTTTTGACAAAAAGGGTTTACCACCTCAGATTTGTCTGACATTTATACAGAACGTTGCTACGGGTCTAAGAAACAGATGCACGGTGCCCAATGGTCTTTGACACATTCTATTTGGTGTGGAAATGACTTCCTGGAACACAGGTTTAGTTGAAGAAGCTGGGGAGAATGGGCTGTCTACCTACGCGGTGCATGCTCAAAGCTTAAGAGCCTTAAATCCCCAGTACAGAAAGAGAAGCCCTTCAGGTTTTGCTTTGCAGGCCTCTTTGCCACAAATGTAATGCCAGGTAAAGGTGATCCCACAATGGGTCGGTCGGTCGCAGACGGTCGGTCGGACGGTCGATCGGCAACGCTGTGGAGGCTTATGTGTCTCGGTGGCTCCGGGCGCAGGCGCAGGCGCAGAGGCAGCGGCCGCCTCGAATGAGGATTTGGATTCGAATCCCAATGACAAATTTATTTTCTTTAGCTGGCCTGGGTTCGGCTCCCAGGAGTGAATCTTTTCCTAAGTTTACTTCTTACATCCGGTACCATCACTCTAAGATTGATCGCGTTGCATCTCAGTTGCTAGTTGGCTGATATGGTAGAGGTGTCAGCTGGCGGGAGGAAGTCCTGGGTTCGACTCCCAGGTGGGTGAATCTTTTTCCTCAGGTTACTTCTCAAATCCGGTACCATCACTCTAAGATACATCGCGTTGCTTCTCTGTGGCTGGATGGTCGATATGGTAGAGGTGTCGGCCGGTGGGAGGAAGACCTGGGTTCGATTCCCAGTTGAGTGAATCTTTTCCTCAGTTTACTTCTCAACCCCGGTACCATCACTCTAAGATAAAGACGTGTCGCACAGGTGTGTTGTCGTAGCTCAGGTGGCAGAGCGATGGGCCGTGGAGGCCATGCGGCAGCACATGTTTCCCGTTGGACCTGGTTCGCTACCAGCCAGGTCAGGTTACTAACCCTTTATGATTGCCCCTACTCCTCTCTCCTTCTGGGAGGGGGGGTAGGGGGGGTGGGAGCCGACGGCGGGAACTCTTTTGCATCCTAGAGGTGATATACAGAGAGCAGCGCCACCAAGATAGACCACCCATTTGCCACGCTGACGGAGGCTGACGGCAGGAACTCTCTTTTGCATTCTTTAACAGCCAAGATTGTTTGGAAGATATCTGGCCTTTAATTCAGTGTATGAGCCGCGCCGTCAAGGTAGGCCACCCATCTGACACGCTGCTGCAAAAGCAGCACCGCGGCGGAAAACATGAGCCACACTCTTATCCGGGATTCGAACCCGAGTGCTTCTCTCTACGACCAACACCTCAGCCCCCTGAGCCACCGAGACTCTCCTCAATGTGGAGCAGTCTGAACTTGGGCTAATTGTACCGCATTCATGCAGTCAACTGAGAAAAATGTTTCGGTACCCGGGATTCGAATCAAAGTCTCTCAGCGCGAACACCTCCTCTGCGCTCCCAGCCACCGAGACGATGAAAATTCGCTCGCCAATCTTGGAAGTAATGGTAAGTTACCGGATTCGAGGTTCAACAGAGGAAAACATTTCTATACCTGGGATTTGAACCGAACTCCTGCGCCACCAAATCACCCGGTGTGTCTCCGCCCAAACTCAGACCCATGGTTACCTGATTCTTCGGGTTCGTGAAGTGAGGTGAACTGAGAGTTTGGGAACCAAACTCATGAAAAGATTTGGGCGACGCTCTTGCCGACCAAGCCACTGGTTAGTGATGTTCCATGTGACCGTTCGACCGACCGTGTGCGACGGACCGACCCGTTGTGGGATCACCTGAAGGGAAGTAACAGAAACACACATTGAAGTAGACAGCCTCCCATGTTTATTGTTCTGCTTTTTTTTTGTCAAGCTTTGAAACAAATTACTGCAAACAGTAACATTATAAATAATTAACACAATCCTGTACATTTTAGCTAATCGTATACAGTTGGTCGGCAAATGATGGAACAAAGTCCACGCCAAGGTGCACCAAATCACATCCCTTTTTTTGGCATAATGTAATTATGACAAGAGAAAAAGCAGTTCCAAAGGTAATTACAAAGCTGAAAATCTTAAATATACAGAATCTTGATATGTCTGTCAAGCAAAATAGATAAAACGCAAGGAAAAATGGAAAATAATGGCACATTGAAAAGAGGTATAAATATCACAAAAATAAAGGGTCCATGCTTTGAAAATCACAGATCTTTAAAAGCATTTCAAAGATCAAATAGTAGCTAAGTAATTGCAGATGCAGAACGAACTGAGGCAGGTTGCATCATATACATACTAATGTTCACTATCCACGATAATGTAACGGAATGTACACACAGAGTTACAAAGGACATCTTGTCGTGCAACAGATCTAAGCCAACACGTCTAAAATATGTCTGGTCAAGAATTCAATTTCACATGTTATAACTTGCCACAGCTTCTCTTTGTGTGAACTCACAAATACATTAATGTATTTCTAGTTAATTAACTAAAATTTGGGGTATGAAAAAAAAGAGAGTTACGTATTGAAGGTTGTTTAACTGATCTCAATGAACAAGATACGACAAAAACCCTGTTGGATTATTCAATCTTACCACTGATTCTGCTCTATGTTACATTTATAATGTGACTAAATGAAGAGAACAATTTAATTGCAATCAGCTCTAATCAGTATCATTATGCCCCGCTACCAGATACATAATATCAGCTACTTACTGACCTCTAAATGACTACTAGAGAAAAGATTCATCCCCTTAATCCTTTTATCTTCAGTGTTGATCTTTAAATAAACTGCAGATAGAATGTACCAAGAAAACTAATTTCGAAGACACATATGCATAGACATCCAGATAAAAGAAGACTGAATGGTGAGAATAGTCCATGTTCACCATCATTCAGAGCTGCAAGACCAGACTATTAAAGTCACAAAAAAAGAGCAAGAAAAATATATTACTTCTAGATGGAGAAGGAATAAATTTGTCTTACAGAAGAGAAGATGAACAAGTCAAGGTGACAAGCCAACTCTATATCGCAAATTAGGAGACTAACTCTCAGCAGTTAAAAGTTCTATCACACTCACTTGCCTGGACTGTCAAGGGAGGCACACATAATCAGTCTGGCAAATATTTATAGTGGTAAACTACATTACTATGACCAGTCATAAAAAATTTCATTCCTGGATCTGGGAGACTTGTGTGCAGTAATTAACCAATCTGTTCTGTACTATTTACTATTGCTATCCAAACACACAAAGAATGTACAGTAATAATATACTATGTCCTCCGCACACATTCATATATAGATAAATCTTTCTTTGAGTATTTACAAAATGTACATAATAAAAGAAAACAAAAATACATAAACAGATAATGAAAATTGAGTCAACAAAATAAAAAGTGAACTAAAGTTTTGTTTTTACATGACTATTGCACTTAGAAAATGTACTTCTTTCTAATGTGCTACTTACAATAACATTAACATGTTACTTCATTTACAATTTGTACACAATATAAAAGAGACGCGACTGAGCATTGATTGATTATGCAGTACGATTGTGGGTAATCGCTGATACCAAAGAACTGGAGTACGGCAGTTGTAAGTGCAGCAAATGTAAGTTAAAAGACTTCAATCTTAAAACAGTTCATTGGTCGCTAAATGTAACGTACAGTTCAGAATTCTAAACACTGAGCATTGTATTAAAAAGCTCCTGTTCATAAAATAAAAAGAAAGAAAAACAGACACTAATAATTTAACAATTACTGAATGCATGTCAACAGTGAGACTTGTTCTCACTTTTCACAGGAGCACTCTTTCACTCTCAGACACACAGAGACAGTCACACACACACAGACACACACACAGAGCTAATTTGACTATAAGAGGGTCAGTATGGGAAATCAATTGGTATGAAAAAAAAAAATAAATTGAAGACACTTTTTCGCTTTCTCCCAGAGAGACTCGAAGCCGGTGGCGTTGGCAGCCTTCCCCTCGATTCGATTCGATTCCCCACACTGACCCTGGACTTCCCCTTCGCTCCTCTCCAGAGATCAGCATCAGCATTAGGTCCATCGGGCGGCCGGGCAGCAAGGCCTCCGTCCCATCAAATTGACTAGCAAAACACGGCGTGACGCCCTCGCGACGGCCCGCGACAGAGTGGACGTGGCGACCTAGATGGGCCCGTAGTTGCTGAGGGGCCCCCTGAGGCGACCCTGGCCCTGGGCGTGGCCCTGGGCGTGGGCCTGGGCGTGGGCCTGGGCGTGGGCCTGGGCCCCCACCGGGCCGTGCCGGACATCCTCGACGTCCGACTCGGCATCCTCGTCCCCGTCGACGACACTGTCGGGCCCATCGGGGCTCTGTCTCTGTCATACGTGGCTGAGCGGCTGCTGCTTGAGGTACAGCGAGCTCTGCACGCTGGGCGCGCCGTGGCCCAGGCCGCCGTGCGCGATGTGCACGCTGGGCGCGCTCAGCAGCGACGACCCCACGCCCATGCCGCCCATGTTGGCGTGCATGCCGTGGAGGTTGCTGTGCAGCGTGCCGTGCGTGCCGTGCAGGTTGCCGTGGCCGGGCAGCGGCAGCAGGTGCGGGTGGTGCGGGTGGGGCTTGGCGATGAGGGTGCCGTGCGGGGAGTGGCCGCCGCAGAGCCGCGCCCACAGGCGGCGCCACGAGTCCAGCGTCTTCCCGGACCAGATCCACACGCCCGACGTGATGCCCACGGCCAGCGCCATGAAGTACTTGAGCATCAGCACCGAGTACAGCGGGCGCGGCGGCGTGGTGGGCGTGGCGCCGCACGGGCAGGCCAGCGGCTGCATCCAGTCCGTGAAGAGCGAGCTCTCGTACAGGTGGCAGCCGATGACGATGGTGGCGGGCACGGCGTACAGCACGCTGAAGATGCCGATGCGGATCATGAGCTTCTCCAGCTTGTACGCCTTGCTGCGCCCGCCCACGCCGCCCTGCTGCTTGATGACGCTGCGGATGCGGAACAGCGACACGAAGCCGCCCACCAGGAAGCTCATGCCCAGCAGCAGGTACACCAGCAGCGGCGCCAGCACGAACACGCGCAGGTGGTCCGCGTTCTGGTTGCCCACGTAGCAGATGCCCGCCACGGGGTCGCCGTCCACGGCCGCCATCACCAGCACGGCCACCGTCTGCACCGTGGGCACCAGCCAGGCCGCCAGGTGGAAGTACTGCGAGTAGCCGGCGATGGCCTCGTTGCCCCACTTGAGGCCCGCCGCCAGGAACCACGTCAGCGTCAGCACCACCCACCAGATGGACGACGCCATGCCGAAGTAGTACACCAGCAGGAACACCACGGTGCACGCCACTGGGCCCTGGCCCTGGCCGTGCGCGTAGGGGCCGTGCGCGTGCGCGCTGTACCGGATCATGGCGCCGTCGCAGGCCACCTCCTCGTGGCCCAGCCCCACGCGGATCAGGTAGCCCACGCTCACCTGCGACAAAGGACAAAGGAGTGTCAGGAACAACACTACATTCGCTGTCGTCGCGACGACTCTCTCGCACTCCTGGGGCGTCTTTTACAGGTGCGAAAAAGACAGCGATGAAAACGACTCTGTCATCAGTCTGCTGGCGAAAGCGCAGACTCCGCTCCGCGCTCCACTCACCATGAGGTAGCAGGCCGACAGGAACACGATGGGCCTCTCCGGGTACTTGAAGCGCTGCCGGTCGATGAGGAACGTGGTGATGGTCATGAAGGTGGAGAGCGCGCACATGCCGGACCACAGCGAGATCCACACCTCGGCGAACTGCTCCTCCTCCTTGGTGAAGAAGACGCCGCGGCACGGGAAGGCGCAGTTCTCCACGCCCGCCACGCTGATGTTGCGGTTGTACCACGTCGAGTTCCTCTCCAGCGGCACCAGCGGACGTCGGCACCTGCAAGCACCGACACGGTAAGCCTCTCGAAGCTCCCTCTCAGTGGGAAACGGCCAAAGGGCCCTGGCCCTGCAGACGCATTCCGGAAGTCGTTCTCTTCGTTGTGTCTCTCACACCCGTGCGAGTGACAGAGAAAACGACTCTAGGAATCTGTCTGCTGGCGATACTCCGCGACGAGGCGGTCTCTCGCGCGTGGCGTATCGCCGCGGTTCGACCGTCACGTGCAGCGCGTACTACCGCGTGGCGACGACTAGGTTCCCAATCAGGGAGTCAAGGACACTGGAACGACACCCACCTGCACGGGCAATCGCGCCCCGGCGCCCCGGGCACCAGCCCAGTGTTCCTGTCGCGGTCCCGGTCGGGGAACACTTGCTGGGGGCAGCCCTTGCCGTTCTTGCCCGGCTTGCACTTGGTGGCGGGCGTGGCGAACTGGCTGGGCGGCCGCTTGGTGGGGCCCGGCCCGGGGTGCCTGCCCCCGGACCCCGACCCCGCCCCCGCCGCGCCGCGATCCTGCTGCTCCATGCACAGGTGCTCCGGGTCGCCGCTCTCGGGCAGCTTCTCGCAGTTCATGCGCTCGGGCCACTGGAAGCCGTACTGGTGCATGAGCGGCTCGCAGCCCGAGCGCGCGCGCTCACACACGCTGCGGCACGCCGGCAGCGGGTGCAGGTAGTCGGGGATGCACAGCGGCGCGTACAGCGAGCACAGGAAGAACTTGAGGTCCTCGGAGCACTTGATCTCCACCAGCGGCCAGAACTGGTGCACCTCCAGGCCGGCCTCGTCCTGCAAACACGACACCACACCAGGTTAGGCGACCGCGCCAACACCCTTCCCGTCGGCGACGTCGGCGACGTGCTGCAGCCCTTACCTGGGTGTCGTGGTTCAGCTCGTTGGGCATGGACGTCAGGTTATACCCGATGCCCCTGCACATGGGGATGGTGATCTCCTCGCAGCGGCCCAGGGCCGCCGACGCCGACCCCACGCCCCCCGCGGGGCTCAGTCCGGGATGGGGGCCCGGGTGCGGCCCGTGGCCGCCGAGGCCCTGCCCCAGGACGCCGCCCAGCGCCGCCAGCAGCACGAGCAGCAGCATGGTCACCTGCAACAAGAGGAGTCTCATGAGCACGGGCAGGAAGGAGTTGGAGACCGCGGCGATGGCCCGGCCCACCCCCATGGCCGCCCCGCCCCGCCCCGCCCCAGCCGGACAAGCCGAACCGAACGGCCGGAGTACGTGCGATCGTGCCAAACACGTCGCAAGCACGCACGCTTTGCAAGCTGCGCGGTGGCGGGGCCACGGCGACGGCCACGGCCGCCATAAAACGTGCCCGCTCACTTACGGCCGGAGCAGCCAGTCGATGCCAGACTCAACAAACGGCGGGGCGACGCTGGCGACGCCGAGGCCAGGCTCAGGCTGCAGGAGGCCAGGCCGGCCAAATCACGACTGAACCCCGAATCACCGCGCCCTGGCCACGCAGCCGCGCAGCCGCGCAGCCACGCACGCCGCCGCCCCGCGCGACGCACTGTCAATTTTAATTCCGCTCCCCTGCTGCCCCTCGCGCGCCCTCACGGCCTCGCGCCGCCACCGATGTTCGGCTTCGTCAGGACTCCGCTTGCGTGGACTGACGCGGCCGCCGTGGCACCCCTTTCCGCCCCGCCCCTCTCCAGGCGCCCCGCCGCGCCCCGCCCCGCGCTCGGGCACATCAAGATGGGAGTCAGTGACGAACAACGCGGTGCCGATCCATCACCGAGCTTGGAGGGGAAACGACACCACTGGGTGCACCCGGCAGCGGTGCAGAAGCTCGGCGAGTCCACGTTCGGCGACGTCGGTGGCGGGGGCCGCGGCTGTCAAGTGTCACGCCTCACGCCACGCCGGCGGCCTCTTGGCCTCGACGGCACGGCCGGCACGGCCACCATGCGGGCCCCGGGGACGGACCAGCGGGAGGGTCGCAAACTGCGCACTTCCCGCCACGGGCCGCCCCGGCCGGCTTGCCGCCAGGACGTGTCAAACCTGTCACACGACAAGCGACGCGGCGACGCGGCCAAAGTGACGGCGGGACGGACGGCAGCGACGCGCCGCCACCAACAGCCAGCCCCTACATCCGGGCGATCACGGCACAGCGAGAACACAGGGAGAACAACGGGACGGCGGGATTCGAACCCAGGCCCTCGACAACGCACATGTGGCGTTGTCTCCCAGCGGTGCAGTCATTTGTCCGCATATTTGTCTGCATCAGGGTGGAGGGACGCCAGACGCCACCGCGCGCCGCAGCCACAGCCACGCAGAGGGTGCCAGGCTGCGCCGGCAGCGCTAATCCATGTCCCTTTGATCGGACCTCCGGGGCGGGCTCAACCGCGTCGGCGAGAGAGCCAGCAGGCGTGAGTGAGAGAGCGCGAGAGAGGCAGAGGCGGCGCGGGATAGGGGATACCGTACTGGCGCCTGTGGCTAAAAGAGAAAAATGAAGGCGGGCAGAGGGAGGAAAAACGGCCGGGTGACGGTGCTCACATTACTCGGACTGGCAGGGCGACGTGGCGGGGCGGGGCGGGGCGCCCACAGCTCACACACACACTCACATGCTCGCGGCGCCTGAGTCATTGTCCCTTTGCGACCCCCGCCCAGCGAGCCTTGCGGGCCTTGCGGCACCTCGAGGGCCCCGTCTCCATCCCCGGCACGTCACGCGGCGCCACTGTCACTCTCACACCCGTGGGGCATGCCGGACGGGTGCACGAGAGAGACAGCAGGTCAAGTCAAGTCTCGAACAACGCCAAGCCCCGCGGCACGGCACTACGGCACGGCACTACGGCACCCGCTTGCTTGCGTGCCTCACGTGCAAGAGGGAGAGGGAGATAGGGGGCCCCTATTTGCACGCGGGGAGGGTGGGGAGCAAAACAACGCCCTAATGAATCTACACGCAGAGCAAACAGGGCGCTGCATGTGTGTGTGGAAGGGGGAGGGGGGGCGCCTGATTTGGGGAATCACCCGAGAAAGCGGGGGCGGCGCGGCGGCCCGGCACGCGGGCGGGGCGGGGCGGGCCAGCCCAGGGCAAGCCCCAGACCTGCAGACCGTGCCCCAGGCGCCACCGGCAACTTCCCTCCGTAGCAAAATTCCCGCCAGGCTGATTCCGTACAGTCGCTCTGTCTCTCTTGCACCCGTGAGGCGTTCCGTTCCGCGCGTTCCGTAGGGCCGCGAAGAGAACGCCTCCCACCACCCTCCGGGCTTTCGTGCGTTCGGGCCTTGGGGCCCCCGGGCACGGGTGCTGGATTGGCGACGCCACTCTCGAGGGGCGCAGGGCAGGGCACGGCGCTCGGCCCTGGGGCTGGGGCAGACGCGCGCGGCTGGGACGGACAGTGGATGCTGCGTGAAACTTGGCAACCCCTGGTCAATAGAGGGCGCGCCAGCACGGCCAGCCCCGCCAGCAGGCCGACTCCGAGGGGGAGGCCTCTCTCTCGCTCTCGCGGGGCGTCGCGTCAGGGTGTGAGAGAGACAGACTGACGAGACCCTCCCCCTCGGAGTCAGCCTGCAGCCCCGCCGCCCGATCGCACCCCTTGCGGCAGTGCCGGCACTTGCGGCAGGGAGGGGAGGCTGTCCGTCACACAGGCCGCCAAGGGGTTGTCGCCGCTGTCGCGCGGAGAGAGTCAGAGAGAGAAAGCGAGAGCCCGATCGGAGGCAGAGCAAAGCGCTTGCGGAACCTCGCCGCCGAAACCAGAGCAGAAAGCGAAGCAGTTTCAAGCCACCCTGGTCTTTCCAGCGGTTGCGCTTTTTTGGGGGTTCTTTCCTTGTTTGTTCGCGATTCACGCTAAGCCCCAGAGCGGCCGGCATGGCGTGGCGGGGGCGGGGCTTTGGTCAAGCAATTGACGCGAACCAGCCTTCTGACGCCCACCCCGCCACCGCAAGGGTGTCGCTCCCGGCACACTGCAGGGCTTCTCCGGAAGACCCCCGCCCGGCCCTGCCCCGCCCCGCCCATCGTGAGAACCCACTTCCGAGCAGGTGACACCCCGACGGCACTAGAGTCAGCACCGGCGATAAGGGAGCCACAGCGTCCCACACACAGTCGGCCGCCATCGATTTCTCATTACAAACAGCAGTCGGAAGTAAAACAGGAAGAGCGCGGCACGGCGCGGCGCGGCAAGGCACAGTTGTTGGCGAAAGGAGGCGAGAAACGATTTATGCGCGCGCACACACTGGAAGGGAGAGGAAGGGCGAGAGGGGAAGGGCGGTGGGGCCGCTTTGGGCGAGCAGCGACCGAGCACCTGGTGCCTGCGACGGGGAAGAATGGATTCGGAGGGGAGGGGGACGGAGCGAAACGTCGCGTGTCACCCTCTCTCTCTCCCCCTCCCCTCTTTTGGCAGGACAGTTCATCAATCGGTGTAAAGGAGTGTTAGCCCGGCGCGTTAGCGATGACGCAATTTGTCACCATTGTCCCTCTACTCCGCGCCGCGACCAGCCGCGACCGCCGGCAACCCTTCATGCCCCCTCAGCGTCCCGTACTCCACCGCTTTACGACCACAATTAAAAGAACGTAAATCTCGCCGATTGAGACGTTATGTCGCAGCGGCGGCAACAACACACCATTATGACTATGACATGCAAAGCGGTATATTGGCCCACAGACCAGTACGGAGTGCTTCCGAGTGCTGTATACAGTTCACAAGTGACGTGAGGGGAGAGATCCACGACTTGTACTATATAGTACTCTTCTCGTTTGGCTTCAACTCTAGCCATAAGAAACCAGGACCGTTCAGTTGCCGTGTCTCACCAGAGCGAAAGGCGGAGAAATCTTTGGGAATCTCGTCGACGGAGTCCCCTCCGACTTTCCGATCACAGCGCTTAGGCGCGTCCCCAGGGCCCAGAGGGCCCAGGGCCGCCGTGATCACGCTTCACACCTCCCGTGGCGCGGCGTGGCGGCGCGGCCTAGGTAAACAAACCGGCCAGGCTGGCCAACAGCGCCTTCACTGGATAAACACGACGCTGTCCGCGCAGCCCGCCCCGCCCCGCCCCGCCGTCTCCCAGGACGGCGCGCGGACGCCGCGGGTGCGCGTTGAGATAACACGCGGAGTCCGCAGCCCCGGCGCGGCGCGGTGCGGTGACCTTCGCCGGCGCGCCGCGTCAAACAGTCTTCCCTTACGCGAGCCCCTCGCTCAAGGCGCCTCCTTAGCTCAGGGGTTAGAGCACTGGTCTTGTAAACCAGGGGTCGTGAGTTCAAATCTCACAGGGGGCAGAGGTTCGATCCGCTTTTTTGGCAGCAGAGACTGGGCGCTCCCGATCCGGCTCGAGTCGGCGCGGGCACGGACGGCAAGGCACTTGGTGGGCGGCAGTTCCCGGCGAGCCAATCCACCCCGAGGCCCAGGCCGCGTCACCCTCGGGGGTGGGCTCCGCTCGCTCCGCGGCCTAGGCCCCTGCGCGCCGGTGCTTTTAATGTGATGGCGCCGGGGAGGCGGACCTGCACTGCACACAGACCGGACGTGATTCACATCGCCAAAGTCAAGCCGACGGCGACCTGGCCGCCACGGCCAGCCACTGTTCGTCTTGACGCGGACTACGCGGACACGCAAGCACCGCCACGGCGACGCCATGCCGACGCAAGGAAGACGTCAGCGCGTCTGCAGTCCACGGCCGTGCCTGGCCGTGCCAAATAGTGCGTGGGACCGTGTCGCTACCGTCCAGAAAGCGCCAGCACTCAGGCGGGGCCAGGACGGCCCCGTCTCCGGGACGCCTGGCCTGGACGCGACGCAGCGCGCGGGGCAGGGCAGGGCGGCCACTGGACGGGACACCGTACACCGGCCATCCGGTGCCCTTCACCGCTCCCGCTTCACACCACCAGCCAGAGAGTCGTTCTCGTCGCTCTCTCTCCCGCACTCACGGAGCGCGCCGGAGAGGTGCGAGAGAGACAGCCAGCCGGCATGGAGGTGCCAGGCTGCTTCCGAGCGGGACTTCGTCGCTCGCGTTGTCTTTTTCCTCGTGGGTGCGAGAGAGACGGAGTGACAGACGACGCAGCAGGCCGCGGCGCCGGGTCGCGTGCCCACCTCGGCAGCGGCTGCGCTGGCAGTGCGTAGCAGTGCGTGGACAGAGGCGACCGGATTCGCGGCGTCATGAATTTCGCGACGGAAATTGTTTCTAGCCAAGACAGAGACGGTGCCGGACTGCCAGACGCGGAGAGAGGGACATTTCGTATTGCGGGCCATTCTGCAGTCCAGCCATCCTCGTGGATCCCCCGCCATCCCCCGTCCCTCTCGCACTCGAGCGGCGTGCCGAGGAGGTGCGAGAGAGACAGCGCGACGCCGCGCCCCATAAAGACGGCCGTTTTATCGAGGCAATATGACGATATGAGGTGACTGGACCGAGCCGAATGTCGCGCCGGCGCGCCAGCCAGCGTGGCGGCAGTTTCTCATACTCGACGAGCACAGCGCCGCGGAGGGCGTGGCGGCGTGGGGCTAGGGCGTGGGGCTAGGGCGTGGGCCTAGGGCGTGGGGCTAGGGCGTGGGGCTAGGGCGTGGGGCTAGGGCGTGGGGCTAGGGCCCGGCCAGGCCCGGCAGGCAGCAGCCCCAACAAAGCCCTGCGCCGCCCTACGCCGCCCAGCAGGGCAATGCTCACAGGTATCGATCCGGCGCGGCGGCGCGCGGCGACGCTGTACAGAGTGTACGCGGCTACGCGCACTGAGAGCGGCGCGGCCACTTAGGCCCTGTGCTTGCCGGGGCTTGCCGGGGCTCGCCCGGGCCGGCGGCGCTGTCCTGCGAGTACCCCCCGAGCGACTTGAACCTCCTCGACGGGCGCCGAGAGCCCCTTCAGCGACGAGCACCGCGAGGACCCTCAAGGGGGCCGAGGCCGAGGGCCCGCCCCGAGCGAAGGGCCGAGCCTTGGGCCAGGCCCGCCGCGTTGTAGTCCAGCGTAGAGTTACGCTTGCAGATAAAACGCTCCAACAGCAACTACCCCATGCACAGTGGATTTGCCAGGAGACCCGAGGAGGCGGCCAAAGCTCTACACGCGTTGAGCTCCAGAGTCGCTACAAAGCACTCGAACCGAACGCGAGACCCTACCAAAGGATTCCTCATTCGGAGAGCAATCCATTGGTGCGAAGGCGGTCACACGTTCGGTTCGAGTCCTGTTCAGCCGACTGGAGCTCAAAACGCGTCTAGAATTTCGGCCGCCTCCACCGGTCTTTTCAAACGTAAGCTGATTAGTGTGCGCCACAAAACCAGGAAAAACTAAGTCAATTTGGACAGTTTGAACGAGCGGTAGTCAGTCTTATGCACAGTTGTCAGGGTGCACAGCGTCGTAATGCTCTGCAGTCCATTCAAGAGTGCCAGGCGAAAGTTTCCCGAGTCCCGGAGCATCATTTGCAGAGCAACTATACAGTGTGCAGTGCACACTGCATGCCGCCGACCTGCCGCCGACGCCCAGCCCAACGCGCGTTTCCAATGGCTTCACTCGATCCACTCGTCGGATTGGCCCTCGCAAGCGCGAAGCGCGCGGGGGCCGCGGGGGCCGCCCGCTCACTCACCGATTGACCCGATTCTCCCCTTTCATCTCTTTCCGATTCGGGGATTCGGGGGTTCGGCCGCAATCCTCATCTCGAACCGCAAACGGCGCAGCCAACTCACCTCTGCAGGACAGAAAAACAAACAGTCAGGCAAACAGTCGGGCAAATCGTCAAGTCGGCGTGGATCCCTCTCCGGGATCCAGCGCTTGGTCGCTACGTCTCTCTCGCACCCTTCAAGAGCGCCCCACGAGTGCGAGGGGGAGGGGGGGAGAGGTGGTAGGCACCGATCAGCCCGCGACAGAAATAACAAGGCAGCAGGGTGGAGTGGTGCATTCCAGCACGACGCGCTAAACGCGACGCACTGCCGGGAATCGAACCCGCGACCGCCAGAGACCGGCGCACCTCAGCGCGTCATTATTCAGGCGCGGCAAAAACAACAACAAGCCAGTGTTTTTGTTTCCGTCCTTCCATTGGCCTGGCCGCCCCACCGCGCGCACGGCGGCCCGGGCTAAAAGTAGTGAGGTTAGTTGATGTTAGCCCGGCCAGTGATTGAAGCATCGATGTTTGCCCTCGGCTGGCTGGGCGGCTCACACGGGGCGGCTCGGTGCGAGGCCCAACCGAAGCACAGTGGGCCAGAGACCGGCGTAGGCGGCCAAGACGCGTTTGGGGGCTCAGAGTCGCTAAACAGGACTCGAACCGAGCGTGTGACCCCACCAATGGATTGCTCGTTCGGAGAGCAATCCATTGGTGGGGTCACACGTTCGGTTCGAGTCCTGTTTAGCGACTCTGAAGTCCAAAACGCGTCCTGGATTTTGACCGCCTGCACCTCCACCGGTCTTCTGGCCCACTGCGCGAAGGGGCCGAGACAAGCAGAGGCCGGCCACGTCCAGTCCAATCCAATCCAACGGCCAGCGCGGCGCCCAGGCCCCGGAACCCCGCCGGAACCTCCACCGGGGAGCGGGGAAGCGAGAACACGCGTCTGGCCCCGGGCCACTTCATCAAGGCGCAGCCCTGCGCAGGCCCGGGTTCGATCCCCGCCACCGCCCAATCGCTCACGGAGGCAGAAGCTGGCCTCCTTCGGATCCTATTTCTGGGCGGGTGGCATGTGAAAAAAAAGGTAGGGTTGAAGGCAGCACACTGTCGGGAACGGCTTGTCAAGTGCGAGAAAGAGAGGCGTTTACCCCGAACCACATTGTCACATTGTGCGCTTTTTGTCAGTCAGGTGCGAGAGAGGACGTGCCCGTCACTCAGCGACTCATTTATTCCTTCACATGAAGCGAGACAACGCAACGAAAGCGTGTCCGGGAACGGGGACTTCCTTTGTGTCCTCGGTCCAGCCGAGGGCAAGCCGAGGCCCACCCTGGCTGAAACAATATTCGTGCGTTCGTGGAGCCATTGACTGGGCATTGACGCGCCCATTGTCGACGCAAAGCGGGCAAAGCAGGCCGGGGATTTATGGCCCCCGTGTCTCATCAGGAATTGGCGGAGACAAAAGCGCGTCGAAGTCACCCCGCGTGCACCGCGTGCTGGACGAGACTATTTAGAAAAAAGAGATTCATTCGCGGAGACTTTAGCGCCGATCGGAGCGCGTCACCACGGAAAAAGTCGGAACAATCAAAACCAGGACCAAAATTGAGCTGGGTGAACCCGAATTTGTGAAAGGAGACCTTTCCACACTCAAATTTGGGCGATAAAATAATCCTCTGCCAGGGGTCATGAACTATACCTAGCCCCGTATTGATCAAGACTCTTGCCTCATCAGTGTTCCCAGCAGGACTAGACAAATTTGGAACCGTCCCAGTTTTGCGATGCCTTACCTACAGAAAACGGTTTGTATGGCCTGAAAAGCGCACAGCGCAGACTTTCCAACTGTTTCCGCCACACACTTTTTGTCGCGCTGCCGTCGGACAAACGCGCAACAGGCAGCCAAAAGGACACACCTCGGACCCACCGACGAGTCACAGCGCATCCCTTTATTCCACCACACTGCACTGTTTGCTTATCCGAAGCGCAGCATAATGGGGCCAGGCATGGCAAATTTCACGGAATCGCGCCCCCGTGTCCGATACAGACCTCACTCAATGGGCCTCCCGCCCGGGGGCCCAGAGGCTGCACAGTGACAGGCAAGGCCGCGCACTGGCCGTGCAGGTATACAGCCAAATCGCATCAATCGCAGTGAGCATCTGCAGTCGTCGCTGCAGCACCCTGCACACTGAATCCGAGAGTCGGGTAGTCCCTCTCGCACTCACGGAGCGTCCCGTGTAGGCGCGAGAGAGACAGAGCGACGACTCTCGGAATCAGTCTGTCGCAGTCGAAAGGGCGGCACCCCGTGCTGCGCTGTGCCATTGGGTCCCCCGTTTGTGTTTGGCAGGGTACTGTAGCAGCAGAGAGACGCTTCTGATGGCCCTCCACGCCACACACAAATGTCACAGCAAGATTTCAAACAATTTAGCGTCGGCCTCGCCCCCCCAAGACAAATGCAGGGGTCGTGTTGGGGACGGGAGAGAGAGGGGGGACAGTTGCCGAGAAGTATCGTGTGGCGTCTTTGTCTAGGCAATGGGAGGAAATCTGAAAAAAAAGAGGAAAAAGAAACGAAAAAGTACACGACGCGAGGTGGAACCTCCATTTGTCTGACAGCGTTTGTACCCGTCCAAAACGGAGGGGGGGAGGGAGGGGGCGAGGCCCAGCACACACACACACACACCGACGGGGTTCCGGGCGCCGGATGACAGATTGGCCGAGCAGGGCCGTTGGCGCGGCTCGGCGGCTTCCAATCCCAATGCCGATATGAATCTGCGCCCCCGCCAGCGTGAATATGAATGTGTGCGCGCGGCGAGGGCGTACTGGGCGTACCACAGCGGTGAGCGGTGGCGGCGCGCCTTTCAAACGCGCCGACGACAAACTGCACATTGTGCGCGGGGACTCAGCACACTCCAAACGGTTCGCGGCGACGCGGGTCGAGAGACCAATGCCGCCGCGACGCACACACACACACACACAGTCACACACACAGCCACACACACACACACACACACACAGCCACACACTCACACACGTGCAAAACGGAAGACAAACGAGAGACCATAAAAAAGTTGGAAAAAATTGTGCACACATTTCCGCCATGCGGTTGTAAGACGAGACCCCCTCCGCACAATGACGTCTTTATTGGATTACGATGAAAGCTGGCCACGTCATAATACACTTATTGAAATCCCCCCGAGCACGCACAGGCCCAGCCAGGCCCAGCCCCCCGTCCGTCCAGGTCAGATGACAAAATTGTGCGGGGAAAGCATTCCCTGGGATGAAAGCAGAGAGCGGGGGTGCAGGGACACTTTATCGTGGATCGCCGGGACCAGCCAGGCTCTCCGTCCCTGTACGATGCTATCTCCGTCCCCCTGTCCGCCACAAAACAGTCCCCGACACACCGACGCGGCGCCACGGACTCGGCCGAGACGAGACATGTTCACTTCCCCGACGTCAAAGCGACCCCAGGGCGACCCCAGGGCGACCCCAGGGCGGACGACCCCCGCCGCCAGGCCCAGCAGTCAGGCAGGACACCCAGAGCCCTTGCCGCCCAGCAGCCCGTCGTTGGAGGAGCGCCGTCGAAGCTCTAGACGCGTTTTGAGTGAACTCCAGAGTCGATAAATGGTAAAGAGTCGGTAAACCGAACGTGTGACCCCACCAATGGACTGCACTCCGAACGAGGTATCCATTGGTGGGGTCACACTTTCCGTTCGAGTCCCATTTAGCGACTCTGCAGCTCAAAACGCGTCGGGAATTTCGACCGCTTCCTTCCACCCACCTCCACCGGTCTTCTGGCGAGCCGCGGAGCGCCCGGGAATAAGGTGACGCACTCCATCCAGGTTGGGATTCGACAGACATTCGCGCCTTTGCCACGCACCGCGGCCCACGTGCAGCGCGACGCACACATGCGCAATCTGCGCGCACACACACGGCGAGTACGTGCTGCCGAAGTGAAAAAGAGAGAGAGCCTAGGGCACGGCGCATGGGCCTTACTTCGGTTGAAAGGGCTCGCCAACATCAGTATGCACGCGGCGGCGCGGTAGGGGGACGGGGCCGGCCTAGGTGCGCACGGACCGGGGGGGGGGGGGGGGAATCTCGCCAAGGCGCTTTTATTCCACGTCTAAATCCAGCCAACCACAGTAGGGGCCCCAGGAAACAAAATGAGGTGGGGTCCAAAACTATGCGGCACCCGCCCCGCTCCGCTCCGGACAGCTAAGCCGGGAGTGAGGAACGCCCTGGGCACACGCGACGGCGGACAAACTCGCGTGGGAAATATGTTTGACGACGGCCACCACACCCCGCCCCGCCCCGCCCCGGCTTCCGCGTACAGGGCCGCATCCTCCGGCCTGCTCCCCGTCGTGGAGAACCTGTTCGTGGCGAGCGCCAGGGCCGGCCGGCCCCCCGCCGTACGACGCCCGACGCGACGCCTCGTGGAGCCCCGCGCCGCCCCGGCCGCCAGCAGCCGGCAGGTTTGCGCCTTATTTATTGGCTCTGCTCGCACGCCTCCTTGGGCCGCCTCGGCCGCCAGGCCCGCCTCCCGATTCGCTGTCGGACCTGTCGGCTTGACGAATTGAGACAAGTGCATCGGACAGCGCGAGGAGAGAGCGGAGAGGGGGCCATCGTTCCCCCGCTGCACACCGTCGTGGTCGTGGGGCCGGACCGTGTCTCCGTCGCTCTGCCCCTCTCGCGCCCCCACAGAGCGCCGCCCAGCGAGTGAGCGAGAGAGCGAGAGAGATCAAGAGCGAGAGAGATAGAGAGAGACTGGCCGTGGTGTCGTAGGCGCCGACAAAGAGCCCCGCTGGTTGTTCGTCACGACTTCCCGCGCGGCACAGCGCGGCGCACCGCGGCGGCGCCTCAAATTGTGCAGCTGAACTGGCAAATCTCTTTAGCGGCTCGCGGCCTGCCGGGCCTGCCTCTCGCTGCTCCGCGCCGTCTCTCGCTCCACGGGCGTGCACAAGGGGGGGGCGGAGGGGGCGATCGCCCCCCCCGAAGGACCCCAAAAGGTATACTTTTGAGGCAGGTTTTGGCGTCTAACTCCTGGAAGTTAGGCAAAGTTCCTCAAAAAAAGGTTCCACCGCCCCTCCCGAGGAGGCGACCTG